ACCTACAGCTAATATCAGCTTTAATGGTGCAAAAAAGAACAAGAGAATTTCCTCAGCTTGATAAAGAATGTCTACAAGCTGGGTGATGGTGGTTCATGTCTGTAATGTTAACTACTAAGGAGGCAGAGATCAGGGAATCACAGTTCAAAGCCAGTCTAGGCAAATACTTCACAAGACCCTATCTAGAAAAAAATGCATCAAGGTGTAGGACCTGAGTTCAAACCCTACTACTGTCAAAAAAAAAAAGTCTACAGCTAATATCAGAGTTAATGGTGAGAGAAACTAGAAGATTTCTCATTAAAATCAGGAACAAGCAAAGGTTACCCTTCTCACCACTTCTTTTCAACAAGGTATTAGAAGTCCTGGCTAATGCAAAAAGACAAGAAAAGGAGAAAAAAGCATAAAGATTGAGAAGGAAGGAGTAAATCTGGATTTGTTCACAGACAAGATGATCTACATAGAAATCAAGAAAAAACAACAAAAAACTCTTGGAACTAATAAGTGATTATAATAAGGTTACAGGATACAAAGTTAATCTTAAAAAGCCAATTACTTTCTTTTATATCAGCAAAGAACAAGTGGAATATACAATTAAAAACAATACTATTTATATTATCATTCCCCAAAATGAATTCCTTTACACATAACTAATAAAATGTGTACAAGATCTATTAAAGTAAAACCACAAAATTCTGATGAAAGAAATCAAGGTAAGAATAAACTGAGAGATAACATATGTTTATGGTTCAGAAGACTAAACATTGTCAAGATGTCATTTCTTCTCAATCTTCTGCATAGCTTTAATGTGATCCCAGTCAAAATTCTATGAAATGCCATTTCATGGATATAGACAAAATGATCCTACAAGACTCAGAATCGCCAGCAAAACACTGAAGAACAAAATTGGAGGACAGACTCTATGATGAGCTCAAGAATCATCACAAAGCACAGGTAAGACAGTGTAACGCAGACCAAAAAACAGATCTAGGTAAGACAGTGTAACGCACACCAAAAAACAGAAGAGTAGATCAATGGAACCCACAAACAGACGGCCCAGAAAAAGACCACATAAACAAAATCAACTTAACTATGACAAGGGAGCAAAGGCAATATGAAAGAGCAATGTTAGTCTTGCAACGAATGGTCCTAGAACAACCAGACACCTACATGCAAAAAAAAAAAAAAAAAAAGGAAAAAAGAATCTACACACTAAGCTTGTATCCTTCACAAAATGAACTCAAAATGGATCAAATACCTAAATGTAAAATCTGAAACTATATAAATCCTAGAAGATAGCATAGAAGAAAACCTAGATGACATTTTAGGAATAACAGCAAAGACACAATCAACAAAAGAATTGGCAAACTAGACTTCATTAAAATTTAAAAATTCTGCTCTGTGAAAGATAATGTAAACAGAATGAAAGGACAAAAAACAAACTAGAAGAAAATATTTGCAAACATCACTTCTGGTAAAGACTGTCATCCAAAATATACAAAGAACTCTAAAAACTCAACAATAAGAAACTTTAAAAATGTGCCCAATATTATGGAGTTGAAAATCATCATCTTTTACTTATGGAAGTTTATCTGCTATGAAAACCAAACTTCACATTTAGGACTACATTATGATGGAAAGCTTCAAAACTATTACTACACAAGATCTTTGGAAGTAGCCTACGGAGTGATACATCCCAGGAGTTTCAACAGTGCCATCCCATTCCTGTAATGTGGTGTCCAACCACTGAATGAACCAGTGAGTTTGAAAATGAGTTTTTGAGTTTGAAGGTGTTAGTTACTTCTGCCTGGATTGCCCTCTCCTAACTCTTTGAAGGACTGGATCATGTTTGTTTTTCAGATCTCAATTTAAAAACTACTTCTGCAGACAGCCTTCTCTAGTTACCACTTAAAAGTCCACTTTGCCATTTTTCATTATGCATCTGCTACTTTTCTTCATAGGATTTATCACAGTCTTAGCTAACTTGGGAGTTCATTCTTTATTCATTGTCTCCCAACCAGGCTGTCATCTCCAGGAAGATAGGAACTACGTCTATCTCATCCAACATGGCATCCACAGCCCCAGGCACCATGCTTGATCCATATAGGGATAGTGGAGTCTCAAATATTCATTATACTAACAATTACTTTAATATCACCTGTATCACCTGTATTACCTGTATCACCATTAAAAAGGAGGCCTGTTAGCTGAACAGTGGTGGCTCATGCCTGCAATCCTAGCTACTCAGGAGGCAGAGATGAGGAGGATCCTGGTTCAAAACCAGCCCAGGCAAATAGTTCACAAGACAAGACCCTATCTTGAAAACAAACCCCATCACAAAAAAAGGGATGGTGGAGTGGCTCAAGGTGTAGGCCCTGAGTTCAAGCCCCAGTACCACAATAACAAAAAAAAAAAAAAAAGAGAGAGAGACCTGTTGTTATTATATTATTCTCCAAAACTGTAGATTTACACAAAATACATTTAGTTCTATCTAATATAATCAACTAATGAGCTTATTCATTACTCACTAATTATATAATTGGATATAAGAACTACCTTGGAATGTCCCTTATCACTGATACGTTCAAATTGCCATTGATTCTTCCGTATCTCTCACTAGTCTCTAAGTTCCACACCAGCAGGGACTTTGTTTCATTTACTTACCATTATATTCCTGACACTAAGTTCAGCCCTAATAATAATTATTTTTAATAGAAATGAAATGTTGCTAGCAATCCAGACATTTGAATTCTATGAGCTTGACACATTCTAGTTCTTTAGAATTTCATTATTACTTAATGCAAAATATGACTATTGATAATGCTATAAATACAGCTTTTGAAAAGAATGCAAAATAATAAAGGAGATGGATTCAAATACTTATTGAATGCTATGAGTCATATATAATGCTAGAGGATCTCAAATATACTATTTTATTTAATCTCCTCACTGCTGTGGGGTAGAGAAAGCTAATATTCTCATGTTTTCAGATGAGAATGGGGCTAGGATTTGAACTCAGATTTCTTGAGACCAAAGTCAGTGATATCTTTATAACTCATGCTTTTTCCCTTCTTCCCCATGGACTTGCAGCTAACAAGTCTGCATGCCAGTGATGCAGAACTTACTAGACAACCTAACTCCTCTGCTCCTGCATGTATAGAAAGATGACACTACTGCAGTGAGTAGCAAAGCTGTAGTTTTCTTACACCACCCAAAGGAGATCTGATGACCCTTGGCTATTGAATAATCCTCCTTTTTTCTGAATTAACTTATAACAAGAATTATATTCCTAACATCATTGTTTTTAATTTGCTTGGAATGTCCAGTCATGTACCATTGAAATGGGCTCTTCACTAGAGAACTCTTCTCAGAAGTCAAGGCTGTGCTTCAATATTGCACGATGTCCCTGGTTTGTTATAATACAGCTGTGTTTACATACTAACATTATTTACCTGATCTCAGTTATCCTTAATGTTTAGTATGTGATCCAATAGCTCAGGATTAAATCTCTACACTGAATATGGAATAAGTATTTTGCCAAGCTTATGATATAGGTTCTTCTCTTACTTTGTCAACAGATCATTTGCCAAAAATGTCATATTTGAATCATGGAGAATACTCCAATGAGCTTATAGTTTCTCATCCAAAATTTTAAAGACCAACTTGGGTTACATCACAAAGTAGAGCTTTCTCTGCCTTCAGCAAAACTGTGCTATTCAAGTAAATGAAAATATATCCTGTTCTATACATATCCACAGTAGGCCATATAATTTATTAAAAATTATCCTTATCAAATAATATCCCCTGCCAAAAAAAATCTCTCTCTTTAATATAACATTTTTAACTTTGCACATCATGATCTTGCTGTCTTTTCTCTTCAGTAGTGGAAATGAAAGTTCAATAAAATTCAACTCTCTGTGCCTTCATAGGTTTATATAAACACTATTGACATTTTTAATTTTTCCATCGCCATACTCCACTCAAGTCAAGGTCACCATAATCTCTCTCCTGGGTCATTTGGTAGCTTCCAACCTGTTCTCTGGACTTCTACCCATGCCCTCTGAATAGTCCACGCAACACAGCTGTCAGAACCAGCCTTTTATCATGCAAGCCAGACCTCACTGCTCATCTCATGGAATTGGTTGGTAAGGCAAACCTCTTTCAACAGCCAAGAAGCCCTGCATGATCTGGGCTCCTCTTTGTTCTCTGCTTCCCTCATTGCCACATAGGCCTGCCACACATGCTCCCCTATGGAGCCCAACAAATCTGGGAAACTCCTCTCCCAAAGTCTTGCTTCCTCAACCCTTTCAGGGCTCTGCTCTCCTTAACTTCCTTTGCTACTCTGCTATTTGAAATTTTTTATCTGCCCTTTGATTTTTAACCTTTGTTCTGTTTTATTATTTCTAATTTATTATAAAATTAACTTGTTCATCTGACTTATTTTCTCTCCTTACTTTGCATATCAGCCCCATGAGAGATACCTGTCTATTTAATTCTCTCTTTGTGACACCTAGAATAGTATTGGCAAAATAGTGTTGGAAAAATAAATGAATGGTAATCATTCTTTATTCAGATCGTGGCTTAAGTAAGTATTTATTGAGTCCTTATACATAATGCTAGACACTTGGGAAGGTCAATGATAAGAACTTTCCCAGCCCTGAAAGAAGCATACGTTTATCTTCTACCATAACATGCAATTAGGAAAAAACTGGAGACACAGAAAACTTGCTGAAGATATCTTGGACTGGTAGAAATCTTCATTTTTAAACATATCTATGACAATGTTGAAATAGTAGATAAATGATAACTTAGAGAAACTAACAGACATTAAAACATAGGTATTGATTTCTAATTCTCTTAAAACATTGCCTTTGTCCAGTTTAATGATAGAAAATTGCTAACTCAAAGGGATAATTTTAAATTCTTTAATCATAAAGCAGCTATCAAAGTAATATCATATGTGATTGATGGCAAAGAAATTCTATAAAAATGTAGTAACTTACTTGCAACCAGTGGTTCGTCTTCTGATGGTTTAAAGTAAAAGGAAACTTTTTCCAAATCAAATAGTGCAACCAGTGTATCTTCTAGCATGGCTTGTTCATCTGTCTACAAAAAAAAGAAAAACAGCATATGACACAGTATCATACAATGTGATGAAACATGTCATGATATAATGCAAAGTCAGAATAACATAGTTTCCTTTGGGCTCTATTTATATAAAAAACAATATTATCAAACACACTTGAGAATTTCCTGCTCTAAATGAAATTTAAAAGTCCCACAAAGTTAAATGTCCCTTGTGTTTTTGTTTTACCTCTTCTTCCTCTTTTATGTTTATTTATTTATTTTGTGGTACTAGGTTTGAACTCAGGGCCTTAAACTTGCTACGCAAGTGATCTACCACTTGAGCCATTCCTGCATCCTTAAGTGCTTTAGTTATTTTTAAAATCCTTTTGAAGGTGCAGAAAATGCCTTCTACCTGGAAGGGACGGACAGTCCCAAAGAATCAGCATTTTTCTGCTCTAAACGGTCTGGCCTCTGAGTGCTTCTTGCAAACCATGATGTTCCAAAAAGCTGACCAAGTGACAAGTGGCTGTGCCAGTGTTCACGCACTCGCAGACCCCAAGGCTGCAGCTTGCGTAGAGCCATTCACATCCTAGGTGGGACTTGACACAGAGGCAGAAAGACGGGGAGTTTCTTTGATTTTTTTTCCCAGAACCCTGTAGTTTTAAAAACTAATTTTCTAAGTACATTTAAGGGTTTCACAAAATTAATTCTATTTTTTTAAAGAAAGAACTGCCTCATTGTGGTTAGTTCACCTATTAGGAAATTTGGCCTTTTAAGTGTAAAGGGTTTTTAGAGCTGGAAAACTGTTGCCATTATCTCATTTTAGAATATTTTCATCACCCCAAAAGAAACACAGCATCTATTAGCATTTTCTCCTAATCTCTTTTCCCCCAATTCTCAGCCCTATACAACCAGTATACAAATTCCAGTCTCTGGAATTTGTCTATTTATGGCTGAACAATATTGTACATTTTTTATCCAGTCAGCAGTTGAAGGACATTTGGGTTGCTTAGACATTTTAGCTATTATAAATAATCTTTTTAGTTTTTTGGAGGTACTGGAGCTTTGAACTCTGGCTCTTGTACTTGCTAGGCAGGCAGACTACCACTTCAGCCATACCCCCAGCACTCTTTTGCTCTATTTATTTTTCAGATAAGGTCAACTGGCCTCCAACAGCATCCTCCTACCGACACATCCTATGTAACTGGGATGACAAGCATGACATATGTGTTGAGATGAGATCCTGCTAACTTTTTGCCTGACTGGCCTCAACCATGATCCTCCCAATTCCACCTCCCAAGTAGTTGGGATTACAGATGTGAGTCACCACACCTGGACTATCAGGAATATCATGCTGGGAATAATATCTTTGCAGAAGTCATTGTGTAAATGTAAGTTTGGGTTTCTCTTGAGTATCACCTAGGAGTGAAATTTCTGGGTGATATGGAAACCCTATGTTTAATATTTTTGAAGAAATGCCAAACTGTTTTCCAAAAGGGCTGCACTATTTTACATTCCTGTGTCCAGTTTAGTTAGATTACAGTCTCTTGTATCCTCACCAACACTTGTTGGTAGCCATGCATATGCCATATGATTTGGTCTTTCTTTGTTGTTCAATTCATTTTCCTAAAAACTCTGGTGTTGCTCATCCTTTCACATTCTTATTGGTCGTTATTATATATTCTCTGGAAAAATATCTATTTGAATCATTTACCCACTTTTACACTGGCTTATTTGCCTTTTTATTGTCGAGTTTCAAGGGTGCTTTATCCACTTTGTACGGATGTCATTTGTTAGTTATATGATTTGCAAATATTTTCTATCCTTTGAGACTTCAAATAAAATTAATTTTAAAGTAAAAATAGCAGCACTTGAGTAGACAATGGAATTTTAAAGTAAGGAGAATAGAAGAAAATTGAAGCCTATCCATCACTCACTCATTTAATAAACACTTAGTTCCTGTCATATGTTAGGGAGTGGGCTTTATATCATCCATGATTTATATTTTATATGCAATGATTAATTTGAATTTTGTTTTTAAACATTTTTCCAGAAGTGTCTTATTTCTTTTCCTTTTTGAAGAAATAGATTTTAATTAATTATTTAACTAATTTTCTGGTTCTGAGCCTTGAACTCAAGACCTCTTGCTTGCTTGGGAAGTGATAAAAATCTTATTTCAAATTAACCAAGTAAGAAACTGATCACCCACATGGTGTGCTTTCTTTTTCAAAAGAATCTACTTCTGTTTCTTTAACATAGCCTTAACATTCCAGAATCTATGCCTGTGCACTGCAAGAATTGCCTTCCTGCCCTCAACATCACAGAAGAAAAACATCATTTTGATGTATAAACTCATATGTTAGTTTTCAATCTGTTTTTAAACAGATTGTCTGGCAGTACTGTGTGTAAATTCGTCTATGAAGCACACTCCTCCAGATTATCATCCTTAGTGGGAGCTTGGGTTTCAGGGCTGTCACATCAGGCCTGGGTAATGGTCAGCAGCTGGTGTAGACCCTCTTTCTTTTGATGACCTTTGTCAGTGCTTAGGGATCCAAAAATTAGTAGCAGATGGAGGTTTTCTCAGTGACTGGCAGTCACAGACAAGAGATAATCAGGAAAGATGGAATAAATCCTACAAACCAGTTAAAATTTGAAGAACCATGGAAAACTACATCCACTTAAAGTAGCTGAATAACTGTAGAAATGACAATGGAATAACTGAATAATGAAAATGAAAATAACTGAATAATAAGAATGAAAATGCATAAGCTGAATAACTATAGAAATGAAATGGCCTGCCACTTTATATTATGAGCATGTGACAAACTGATGGAGACAGAGGGAGTCATGAGAGTCCTTACCAAGTTTGGCGACAGTAGAGACTGAAAGTGAAAAAGAACACCTGCATTCGCTATCTGGTCTAACCACCTTCTGCTGGCCTCCCAGGTTTCCATCTCATTCTCCTTGCTGTTGTCGAACATCTGGTTCAAGGCCGCCATGAGCTGCTCTGAGAAGGCACAGACGGTAGCCACGAGACTTTGGCAGAAAACCATGTCTCTCCGGAGCTGTGTTTCACTGTCTATAATTGAAAAGAACACAAAGACAGCTTTTAAAAATGTCATGGATGGAGAAGACCAATTCACTAACCATTTACAGCTGCTGGTACTTCATCTCCTCGCCACACTCATGCCAAGTGGGAGACGTGAATATGAGGCCTACAAATGCACACACACACATTTTAGCAAATACGCCTTTCCTCAAACACTAAGCACCACGAACACTAGCAGTTAAAATAATTTTCCTTAATTGATATTGTGACTCTTCTGCAATCATTAAATTGTTTCACGAGATCTGAAAGAAAAATAAGGTTTCATTTGCTTTTATTTTCAAACCGATGAAATACAATTCGATTCTGTTTCAAAGTCCAGCTTTTTAGTTTATGCTGACAAATTAAATACAGGTGGCTATTGGAAAAATAACCACCTACCACACCTACCCAATTGTTAATGTGCAATGCACATGGAGAAAGAGCACTTGCTGTCCAAGTGTTTGTAATAACAAGCACATCTGTAGACTCTGAATTGAGTTACTTGATTTCACAAGCAATGAACATGTCCACATTTACAGGAATAAGAGTTCCTATATTTCTTTGATGTAAGTAATCATTTTATAGGTTTACATAAATTGATTTTCATGTTTACTAGAAGTCTTATCCTGCAGTTGACTGGATTTTCTAGGTGAGCCACTTTGAAGATATGTTTGCCTTATGAATTGCCATTCTTGAGCCTGTAATAAAAAGAGCTAACACTCCTTGTTCACTTCTTTGTGTGTCTAGATATATGCAAACTACAAAAATGACATAAAAACCAAGCTGCATATTCTGCACATAGAAAAATCACATGTACTAGAAAAGCATGGGGAAAATAATCTCCTCCCAAAAGTATACTGGGTATTTTGCAGGCTTATAGAACTTTCTGAAATGAAGAAGCATTGTCAGTATTAGTGTATAACATTAAGAGAAATGTTGTCTTCATTCAGTGTTGAGATCCTGTTTCACTGACAAAGACCCACAATTATTCAGGTGTTTACCAAGAACATTGAACATTCATTTCTAATAACCATCAAAAGCATGCATTCACATATTGCAGTGGGTGAGTGCTAGTTTCACTATTAGTAACACCTTTTCTTGAAATTGTGTTAAGAAAATACATTATATATTAAAGATAATTAATTTGTATTAAAATGCCCATTTTTTAGGTTCAGCTATGAAGTTACTGCTTTGGTAGGTCAAAATGGTTGAATGTGTCAATTCCATGTGATTCAACTTACTAATTTGACCAACATGTGTTAGCCATTTCCCACAAGTAGTTCCATTCCATGCATCCCATGCTACTAGATGGGAAAGGTTATTTTCTAGGTAACTGTAAACATCTGAACTGGGAACAAGTTTTCCCCCATTCTCAATTATGAAAATACTAAAATATCATTTTGTTATGCACAATTTCTAACAGAGTAAGTATTCAACAAATGTTTACATGCATGAGTGAATGAAAATAACAACAAAAGGAACAAATAAATAAAGTGAAAATTTATGATTCATTCCCTGGTTTCCCAAAACCTTTGGATTCCTTTGAGTTTACACGTGAGCTCAAATATGCAGCTGATAAGCTGAGGTCTACGACAGAAACTAAACAAGTACAAATGGTCCTGTATCTTTCTTTTCTGTTTTTCAGTTGTCCTAATGTGAAGCAGAAAACCTAGGTTAACTTATAAAAATACTTAGGTAGCTTTGGCAGGAATACTCCCACATATAACCTGAGAATAACTTAAAAAAATCAAATTAGAAAGAAATTGCTGATATCAAGTGTGGAAAGCAAAACTGCAGCAAAGGAAGATCCCAACTCCATTGTAAGGTTGGTAGACATCACAAGGGTAAACTTTGCCTCCAGTAGAAATAATTACTTCCAAATGGCTTTTGAGAAGAAATTCTCAAATTTATTCTTTTTTTAATCTTAAAAGAATACTTAGATGTTTAATCTATTCTCTGCTACTATCTTTATGTATTTAAGCAAAAAATTGAGATTTTCATTCAACCTCATCAAATCAGACTTGATCACTATTAACACACATTAGTCTTTCCATCCTGCAAAGCCTGTTGATAACTCCATCACACGAGGGTTGTACCCATTCATTACTGTGACTCTAGCAGCGTATGCCATATAGAAATTAAATCTTACATCAATTACTGGAGGTATGAAGTCCCAGTTAGGACCTCGGCCATGTCTTTACTAACAAGAGTGACAAAGAGGTAGATATGCAAGGTGCCTTGGACCACAATGTCATTTAATTTTTTTCCTTTTTTATTAGCATATATTAATTATACTAAATTGTGGGTTTCATTATGACACATTCACACATGTATATAATGTACTTTGGTCATATTTACCACCCCATTACCCTCTCTTGTTCCCCATTCTGCCATTTAAATTACAAACCAACAGATTTTCTAATGAGATACTTAATAAATGCTTATTACTCACAAGGTGATATTCTATTAGCACATTCCTACTTACAGCACAGCAGATGACTTATTTATATAGACTTTAAGATGTTAGTTGTATATCAAGAGCTTTTCAAATAACTATTTACAAGTGATCATTTCACAGTGAATGCAAATTTAGAAAACACAGTAACAAAAAGGGATCATGGCAACATATCCCCAGTTTATATTTACAGGTTTTCAGTGTATCACTTTCCTCCATTTATCCCACAATCCAGCAACAAGACTGGGAGATTATAATAAAACAATGAACTATGGGGTACACAGAGCGACATGAGTTAAGCTAATTGATTTTCGGGGCATGTAATGTTTCAACTACCCATCTTAAACCACATGAGCATAGTTTTTGGATCCCAAAACGTAAGCTGGGGTTCATTCCTACTTCTTAGGTTTATGGGAAAGATAAATGAGATAGAAAACATTTAAAGCACTCAACAAAGTGACATCGGTAGACTTATCATCGAGATTCCTCTTTGCTCTAGCATCCAGCGGCGTATGGTAAATGGGAGCTTAATATTATTGCTGAATGGAAAAGAACAACATGATGAAGAAATGAACCAAAATCTACTAGCTCCCAGAAAAACATCCTGTCATTTCCTTTTAATAACACAGCCACTCAAAATTCACTAGTGTCTACCCTTCACTGAAGCTCTTCTCACTCCCCATTTTTATCAAGAAGAACTTCAGCAAGAATCCTAATATCTGCTTCAGCTTCTAGCAAGAGCAGAAAAAGAGGGAGCTCTGGGTTTTTGTGATAGCTTGTTCATTATTTTTACAGAACAAAATATTTCCTGTTGTGGGAATATACTTAAAACAAATGGTTTCTATACTTATCAAAAGCTTCAGATTCATTTTATAGCATTTAAGTATCTACTAAATGTATCTATAAATATCTAAAAAATACTGACATAATATCATTTTAGCTATTTAAAATTTCAAGTTCTATAACTACCCAGCTGATCAAAAAAGAATGAGATGGTTTCTAGATACATATAACTAACCCCAGGCATTGTTCTGGCATAAAAATTGCAGGGAAAAGAAAGTAAAACAAGTTAAGAAACAAAGCAAAAGAACTTAAAAGAAAAAAAAAGGTAAGAAGGAAAAGAGGTTAAGAAGAGTTACTTAGCAAATGCAGTCTACCCTTTTCAAATGAAAAACCTAATTTCACAGCCCAAACTATGAAGTAATGTGGCTACTCTTTAGATACCATCCTATATATGTAAGAAGAAAAGAGAGTGAGAAAATAAGGTAGGAAAAAGGATACCCTTGGGAAGAATGGAAAAATAAAAATGAAATCAAAATGAGCCATTAGAATATTAATGATAAAGCTACAAATTCTAGAATCACTTCTGGAATTGGCAAAACTAAGTTTGAATTTCAAAATTGCTATCTACTATTTTACTCACTTATGCAATAAAGGCATAATTTTCCTTATTCTCGTAATGCTCAAAAATGTGTTAAATGAATATAATTCACTAGACTATCAGAATATCAGTTCTTTACTTTTAAAGCTGTAGAAAAAAACCAATATTCTCACACAGTGGTTCTGACGACGTAATAAAATCCATGAAAAGGAAGTCTGTGAAGTATGTTATTAGCAAAGTCCAAAAATGTAAGATTCTTGTTAGTATTATTAGCAGTCGTCAAAGAACAAAACAAAACCCAACCAACCAAAAGAAAAGTGCTTTTGGTCAACTTGGTTTATTTATTCATTTATAACTGAAAAGTTCCAAGTGTGGCAGACGATTCAGTGGTCCCAAATTCTTCCATGCCCTCCCCACACACACACATATGCACACTCATGCCCTTGTGAGTCCTCCCATCAGAAGCAGCATCCCAGGCTGGATGGGATGGCGTATGCTTACAATCTCAGCTAATTGGGATGCTGATGCAAGAGGCTTGCTTGACACCAAGAGTAAAGAGCAGCCTGGGCAACCTGGGGACACCCTCTCTCTTAAAAGACAAAACAAAACAAACAAAAACGAAACCCAGCAGAGTTCCTGCCTCTGCCCTTGCATCTGAGTCTACCAGTGGCCAACAGAAGAAGCTGAGCTTTTGTAAGCTCCTGCTGTCTTCTTAGAACCCTGCAAGTCTAGCACTTGAGCAAGACCACCTTGCTCTCATGGATGGTGCCAGTCATGTGGCCAGTCAGCCATTACTGATGATCAGACAGACACAGTGCCTGCCTCAATGAGGTTAACGCTTATCATCTGTAAGGTCGAGGTTCATCAAATATTTCATTTTCCTTTAGTATCGCTTTCCATTGCTAATTTTTTGAGCTCCTACTAAGTGTATTTTAATACGAGTAAGGTCTGCAAAGTGTTGACATAGATCTTGTTCACAAACAAGTTAGACATTGTTTCACAATAAATCCTGTTTGCACAATTCACTTTACCATAACCTGCTCTTTTACTTTGGGAGGGTGGGTACAGCTCACTATCACTATGTAGCCCAGATTAGCATTTAACTCTCAGTTCTCTTGCTTCTGCTCCCCAAATGTGCTGGGTATATAGATGTTACCACCTAGCTGGGCTTCTTTCTCCTGTTTAATTATATTTTTAAAAATATGTTTATATAGCTTTCATGTTTTTACCTACAATAAAAAAATGAGCATATCCTTTTGAGTTTTATGTAAAACTATATAAGTACTGTTAAAAATATTTCCAAGGCTTTAGAGAAGACAGGGATTATATTTCCATTTATCTTTGTAAATGGTTGATGGCACTGTCTTCCTATTATAAGACTTCCTGGAACACAATCACTTCAAAAAGTAAAATAATGTAAAATGTTACCTGAATATTCAAGGAGAGCCAAGAGTATCCGACATTTTACCTCTGCAGAGAAACAAAACACATCAGTTATTCACCTTTTTCTGCTATAAATGTCAAATTTTAACTGCGTAGTAAAAAATAAGGACAGTTTTAATGTATTAAGTAATACAAATCTCATTTACTCAACACATTAGTCTTATTCATCTAATTAGGTAAATCCTATCCACTATGCAAGATCCTGAGATGTCTCCAGTTCCGAATCACATGAATAGATGGAGCACCATTCAAATCCTGCCAACTTTGTGGGTCATCCTTAGCTATTCTTGCCTTCATGGTGTTCTCTAACTATAACTATTGTAGTCATGTCAATAAACTATCAAAACAATGTTTGCTACTGTTATTGAAATTTTTAAAGAAGAAAATCTATGTATCTATTATTCTTGCCATGCCACCTCAACACAGGGCCAATCATAGATAGTAGACAAGTATGGATTAAGTTCATAGTCATTGCTATGTGTCCAATGACTTATATGTCCTTCTTCTTCCAAATGACAATAAATAGTTCATTTGCAATAAGTAAAATTTAGAATTTTTGGAGTTCTACTTCTAAGTGCCCAAGATTATCAAGTATAAAGTAAGTTAAGATGCATCCTATTCTAGACAAGCTTGTAGTACTGTCAGAGAGACAGAATTAACCAATCAGAAATGCAGGAAATACTTCAAAGGGCATTAAATTTTATAGGCAAGACTAGAAGAAAAATAATATTTCAGAGGCAGGCAAAATAGGTACAGTGTGGAGGGGTACAAATGGGAGGAGGGAGGGTGAAGGAAGGAGATTAAGGTGAGGGCATATGGTTGATGGACTTCATATACCTATATGAAACAGAACAAAGAAACCTCTTGCAATTGCTTTAAGTGGAGCAGGGAAGGGGTTGAGAGAGAGAGAAAGATGATGAGGGCGATGTAACTAACGTACAATATAAGGCTAATCAGAATTGTCATTATGAATCCCCTCCTGTATAATTAATATATCATAATAAATTTTAAAAAAAGATTTCAGAAGCACTGAATTAAGAGTCTGAAACCTGATCTGTTCTATTCTAGCATTATGGCATTAGAAAATGGTTAAATTACTTTGAGTATCAACTGGCTCATTCATTAGTAATCATAACATATACCTTAACTATTTTACAGACTTGTCAAGAAAAAAATGAGACTACATAGTAAAAGTCTTTAACATTGTTTAAGGTTCTGTATACACTTGAAGACTGTTATTATTCTAATCTAGACCTAGTTGAAGCTAGAATTCTAAGATTAGAAAATACTTCCTAAAACTTTTCACATTTAGACTATCAGGGGAAGAGGTACCTATGCTAAGAGTGGGAACTTAGTAGGAATTTAGTAATGAATGAATAACAAATATGCAACAAGCTAGCATAAAGAGATTTTATTGTATCATCAAGGACCTGAGACTGGAGTATGGGTAGAAAGCACCACCGAAAAAATGAACATCAGGCTGATCTAACAAAAAAATTATGCAGTGTTCTGGAACAGAGTGCTGACTCTATGAACGTGATATTTTAAGAAAATAAACCTGGTAACGGTATATATGAATCAGAGAGATGAGTCAGAGAAAACCATCAGCATTACTAAAGTATGATAAAAGGGGAAAAGTGAAGAGATATTCATTAGGATATTGACACAAATGCAGAGAAAAGGCAAAAAGAAAAAAAGTAGGTTGCTGTAAAATACGGGAGATTATGAAAAGAGCACAATTTTTGTAGGGAGCAAAGAGTTGAAAATGTGTTGACTAACAGACATTCGAATTTAAGAAGATGATGAGTTACTCAAATAACAATGTCTTCACTCAGCCCATAACCTAGCTGAGAGATTAAGCAGGAGCCAGGCACCATCTCTCAGAGACACCTTACAATCAATCGGCACCCCATTGAATCTGCTACCTTTTCTGCTCTCTTCTCACCCCAATTTAGCAAACTGGATGGATGAGTATATAATGACATAACTTTTGAGTGGCACTGTAACAATCCTTCTTAAATAATCCCCATAGAACTGAATGTTTGGATATCATATTTGGTATATATTTGATGGGCTGTTTTTTTAATAAGAGATGTGGAAACATAAGCAATGGAGCCATCCCATCTACATACTTTAACTGTGGCATTCCAGCCAGGTGCCAGTACATTATGTTAAATTTGCAGCCAAGACCTCACCGTCTATTAAATCATTCCCAATATAAAGGCAATTTGGACAGTAGAATGAAAATGCCTTTAAATTGAATAGGACAAAGTTGTGCTGAGCCCACCAGGTTAGTTGAGGGCAGTTCCACATAACAATTCATTTCAAGGATTCCAAAGCTGGCTTTTCCATACCACACGTCTGTGTGGACAGAGTACCAGGAAACGGCAGCTTGCTTTCTGCCTTGGATTGTCCACTGGACTGGGGCAGAGATGGTAAATTAGTCATTTTAAAGACTCATTTCACATGATGACAATCAGAATTCTCATACAAAGTGCAACTGCATCTCATTGAAACTCAGAATGAGGGATGAAACTTTAAACTCTGCAAAAAGCCCTCACCACATTGAGCCTAAAACTCTCAGCACAGACAGCAGTACTAAACCGGCTACTGAGTTCCCATGACCAAGAGCGCCACCAATATTCATTCACAGCATATACAAATAATCAATCAAATGATAGTTACCATCTCTGTGGCTGCTAATTGAGATCTGAGCTATCAAGAGAATAAAAGCAGAACTTTAGGTAAAAATGTAACATTCTTAAAATGAGCACCTTTTTAAAAATTAAGCTTTCTATGCTACCTTAGAAATATATATGTTAAAGGAGAAATTCTTCTTTAAAAACCTACAAAAAAGTTGTTTTTTTCTTTTGCAAGGACTTAGTGCTTGCTAGACAAGCACTCTACTGCTTGAGCAACGCCCCCAGCCCTTTTTCCTTTTGTTTGTTTTTCAGATAGGGTCTTATACTTTTCCCCAGTGATCCTCTTACCTCTGCTTCCCAAATACTTGTGATTACAGATGTGTACCACCATTCCCACCTTGCTTTTAAGTTGGGGTCTTGATGACTTTTTTTTGCCTGAAATAGCCTCAAACTACAATCCTCCTATCTTCTGAGAAGCTAGGATTACAGGCATGAGCTATCACACCCAGTTTGAAAAATGTTTAAATGAATTTCTCATTCCTAATCAGTATTGCACTAACTCTAAAAGCAAACATAATTAAATTAATCAGTTCTTATCATTAACAAGAAAAACTCAAAAGATCTTAAGAACTACTACAGATTTACAACTTCTTGGAGTGTTAAGATACTGACAACTATTGTGAGAAAATGTGCCTTCTCTTCAGTGGAATATATGCTTCCATTCCCTAAATTTAGCTGTGGTTTAAAATACATTTAACATTTCTACTATTTTTTTTTTGGTGGTACTGGGGCTTGAACTCAGGGCCTACATTTGAGCCACTCCACCAGCCCTTTTTTTCTGATGGGTTTTTTTCCAGATAGGGTCTTGTCAACTATTTGCCCAGGCTGGCTTTGAACCTCAATTCTCCTGATTTCTGCCTCCCGAGTAGCTAAGATTACATGCGAAGCCACAGGCACCTGGCTCTATTCTTTATATGGGAGATTTTTAATTCATACTTTTCACTGAATGTGATGTCAAGAAGGACCACAGATAACTATGATATTAAGCTTTAAAATAAAAATACAGCCAACAAACACAGTTGTGAAGAATAAAACATTTCATCTCACAAAAAAACTGCTGTGATTGATTTGGGAAGTGGTTCACATCAATCCAAATGTCTCTCTGATCTCAAAAAATATCTAAGCTGCTGTGTTTGAGTCTATTTCTATGCAGAAGGCTTAGTAATCATAAGATGTTTAAGCCACTCTATTATTTAGTAAATAAGAAAACTAAGGTGTGTCACTGGCTTAGGCTCTATCAAATATGAGGAGTCAGTGAAATATGTAACTCCTTCTAATTTGCCCTAAAAACTTTAGTGGCCAGAGTTAGTCTGGAACCATGCTGGACACTATTTATCATATCTAGCAAGCATAAAAGCGCACACACAGGTATGATAATCATTGTACATGCTTCTCAACTTTAGCAATATCAACATTTGAGGCCAAATAATTCTTTGCCGTGATGGGCTGTCCTGTACATTGTAGACTGCTGAGTAGAGTCCCTGGCCTCTCCTCACTGGATGCCAGCCTCATGCTCACAACTGTGAAAACCAAAAACATCTCCAGACATTGTAAAACACTAGCCTCATCACTGGGAAGAGAACTGCTTGAATTGGACAATCTTAAAATTAGAAAAATTTCTAATTTTATGTTTTCCATCATAACCTTTTTGAAAACTCTCAGCTATTTTTCCTTAATAACTCTGACCCCAAACAGCACACATCAGTGGAGTTTTCTTCACATTTTAAACCTCAAATTTAGGGATGGTACCAATTACAGGATATCATGTGAGTGACGTTATGGTGATTACTGTTCATCAACTGAGACAAACGCTCTTGAGAGAGAAACTTAAAAGGCTAATCACGCAACCTGTGTTATTATTTTGATTCTCACACAGACTCGCAAGTGGTGTTTTTAGACTTCATGTAAAATTCAGCTTCATGCCCTTTGTGAATCCTTTAGAATTTTTTCCTGATATTGTTTCAAATTATAAAATATTCTCTCCATGCTCCCTTTTCCTTTCTGTGAATGAGCCTCATTCTATTCATTCAGAATATCCTCCAGACTATACTCTACAATGTTCAGATATCCAGTACACAAGGTTCTGCAGTCTTATTCCTTCCTTCTTTCCCTTCTCCTTCCTCCCATGTCATTCCTTTTATTTTCTTTACAATATGAAACACTGCACAAAGTAATGACGCATTACTGGACTTTTGGGTTTAACGGGTTTTTAAATGTTTATTGCTGATATCATGCAATGTTCTTTGCTTTTCATGCTGACCTTCGACAAATTTTCTGATGTTCTGAGCAAGAGCCCGGACGCTGCTGGGAAGATTCCAAGGGTCTTGCTTGATGTGAAGTCTTAACCTTTTTGGACAACTCAGCTTTGCTTCCATTTCCTGTTGGAATTCTAAATAAACACACACACACACACAAAAAAAAAACCAAAACAAAAACAATTCCAAAATAGCCCCAGAGTCTTCAGAATTGTGTCTCTTTTATCATTCTCACTCTAGAATAATATCACAAAGGCAATTTCTTTAACTAAACCACAGCAGAAAGTTGATTATATCTGAAGTCAAAAATCTTAATGTTATCTTCTTACAAATGTTTCAACAAAGAAGCGTATTCTAACCAGGCTTGAGAATGGGTAGCTTTACCTCCCATTCTGTTGCATGCTCTTTTGCCAATTCACATTTGCGAGGCCCTGTTGCCACCAGCCAGGATTTAACCAGGTAATCATACTTACTTGCAGAAAAGCAACTTAATAGTGACCTATCTTAAACTAACATACTTTGTTTGACCTGGCCTCTACAGGCTGTAAACATTTCAAATTTCTAAAGAAACATAAGGAGTTTATAGTGACATTAAAAAAAATACTGTAGTAATTTTAACATTCATAAACTTATCAAAATAGAAGTAATATTTGTGAATTATGAAACGTGAGCAACCACAAATTTTTTTCTTATCTGCTATTTTGCTTCATGACTCTAGTGTCGATGGCCTTTTGTTTTCTGATATCATCTAATAGTTATTTTTTGAACATTACCTTGTAACCCTCGGCCTGGTGTGAAATACTTGGTTTGCTCAAAGGCCCTCAAGACAGCTTGTCCTTTTAGGAGATTGGTAATTGAATCCACCTTCAATAAGAGATTTCTGAGAGTTACACACTTCTCATAATATATATTCCTAAGAGTAAATCTTCTAAAATATTTTTCATAAGGAAACAATTATTTTTAAAGCCCCACTGTGCTTCTGAAGTCTGTCTTTTAATAAAATATTGTAATCAACACACTTGCTTATGTGATCATATATGCAATGACATTTCTCATTAGCTTACCATATATTAATACAAAATAAAAAACTTACTTCATGAAAGAAAGTGAAAGTTCCAGAGTTAAAAAAAAATCCCTAAAAGTTACTGGAACCTTTTACAAAGTGGTAAAAGCTTCTATACTCCAAATTTTGATTATGACTATAAAATTCTTTATAATGCAAAACATGAAATGAACATCAAAATTATCTTGTTCTTTTTGAACTCAGGAATAATGTTCAGCTAGAAATGTCAAAGTATTCACAAAAAAGCTCAAAATCATCAAAAGGACGAGTCTATTTAATTTTCCAAAGAGTAGAAAGTACTTGATATTCACAACAGTACTTTCAGTTAGTTGCTGAAAGAAGGGAGGGACAGGTTAAATCCTTTCCATTCTACCTCCAAGCTTTTTCTTAACCACATCTGAAAGCTTTCTGACATTAAAGCATGGTGAAAAGACCCACAAATGCCCCTCATACCTGGCTGAAAAGATGCTCCAGGCAACTGTGTATCTTGTCCTGTTTATCTCGAGAAATGTGAACACTCAGGGGAAACTCATCACCTAGGTGAAAAAAACAAAACCCCACAAATCGTTATCTCATGTTCAGCATCCTAAAGTATTTCCATATTAGAACAAACTTGAAAATTAAACACTAGCTCTTATTCTACATCAGTTCTCATGTTTGGAAAAGCAATTCTGAAAGGGTGATTGTGCCAATGACGTCAGTCCTTCTGAAACAGGTGAAAGCAGAGTGCCTCAAAGACAGGATCCCGAACCAGCTCACGTTCTTGATCATGCTTTCAAAATGCTCTAGTTTTCTAATCATAAAAGGGTTAAAAGAAACCACACAATTGAAAGGTAAGATTTGTCTTCATTGGGATGAAAGACTTGGCTCTTCGTGCACACAAAATAAGATATTTATGAGTGGATTAGATTAGTCAGTGCTTTTTTTTTCAAAACCCCTCTTCCCTGTCTCCCACATATAAGGTTGCACCTGCTGTCAAAAAAAAAAAAATCATGCTGGGGGAGCGACTCAAGTGGTAGAGCGCCTGCCTCCCAAGCATGAGGCTCCAGAACTGCAAAAGAAAAAAGAAAAAAGAAAGCAGGCTCTTCCCTTAGGGTGCTCCTGCCCAGTGGGGGTGACATAAGCATTTTAAATGTAATTGATTCTCCTTACGCCCCATATCTATAGATTTAACCAACCAAAGATTGAAAATATTGAAAAATATTACAGTAAACAAAAAAAAAATCAGTCTGAAACTCCTCTCAGCCCCACCCCAATCAACAATTTAGTGCTTTAGTAAGACTTTTTTGCTGTGTACCTTTATAAAGCCACACAAAGATTATAAAACAAAATAAAAATTACTTTGCTTCTTAATCCACTCTCCAAATAATTGGGATTGGGAGATTGACTTTATCAAGCACATGAATCTGAAAGCAGTATGACATGATGATGAAAGAGTATGATCTGAAAGAGTGATGATGACAGTGAACATGAATATGGATGCAAGAAATGAGTCCCTCCAAGGTCTCCAGAGGCTAACACGAAGAAGACACGTCTTGCTCACGCACCTGAGTCCATCTCGTCGCTGTGGAAGTAGGAGCTGCACTGGCTGCTGCAGATGCTCGTGAATGAGGCGGTGGAGTTCCTGTTGCTGTTGCAGTCACTAGGAAAAACGAGTTCTACTTTAGTCTCCTGCTGTTTCTTATTGCATACATTCACCCCACAGTTACATTTATTGATATGCTTTATTCAAAAGTATGAGAAAAATAAACTTGTCCAACTCACTTTTTAAAAAAAATGTATTTTAAAATCTAACATATTGCAAATCTTCTTCTGTCATATAATTGAACACTAAGTGTACATTTTTTAAATGTGTGGTCATAAAAGTAGGAATCATACCAAACATAAAAGTTTTCATTATTTCATAACAGTAGTTAGAGAAAGTTCTGTTTCATGGTTCTATCTGCCAACCCTGTCCAGTAGCCTCACTTGTCACCTAGCTCTGAACTCTCAGGGAGCTACCTTATCTGTCTCCACAGACAGCACAGCACAGGCAAGTACTCCATGATGCTGGATGTCCCAGGTAAGAGTGTGTTCAACTTCTGTGTGTGAATATGAGCAATGCTGATTTCAGAAGTCGTACAGGAGATAACCTATTTTGTTACTTTAGAATAAGTAAAAGGACTTATTTAACTTTAAATTTACCATTAAAATGTCTATTGCATCCTAAAGGGAGACTGTGATAACTTTAATTATCTGATCAGTAGAAAGTAAGGCAGAAAGTATTTGCAGATGTGTAATTTCCCATTAGAGAAAAATCACAGATTCCTATTAAAGAACATACTGGTATCTTTGGAAGCTGAAAGTAACTGAAATGGTAATATTTTAATATGCATGATACATTATTGAATCTCTAGGAATAATTAACTTTTATGTATTCATTAAAATCCTTTTGGAAATAAAGAAATTGTGATGGTAGAGTGATTAAGAAAGAAATCATGAAGCCAGACTACTGTTCTCAAAGATAAATTATGTAACTCTAATGGACCCCAGCATCCTTATATATAAAATGGAGTTACCATCAGAACCTGCCAGATGTGGTAGGAGTGGTAGGAATTATTTAAAATCATCCTGGCAAAGTTTGTTTTTAATATTACTTATTAGTTTGATAAACCTATCTGATGAAAATAAATTTGATTTAAATAACATCTACATAATATCTCTTCATTGTAAAACAAGAGCAAATCAGACAGTTTTTGCTTTGGTGTAAATGAAGCATTGAAGCTGCACACATAACACATGAAGCTGGCTATGACAGTCCTAAATGAGGTATCAGGTGACATAAAGAATTCAGGGAAAGCACCAGGCACTGGTGGCTCACGCTTGTAATCCTGGCGACTCAGGAAGCAGAGATCAGGAGGATCATGGTTCGAAGCCAGCTCAGGCAAATAGATCATGAAACTCTATCTCAAAAATACCCATCACGAAAAAGGGCTGATAGAGTGGCTCAGAGTGAAGGCCCTGAGGTCAAACCCAGTACCAGTATTCCAAAAAACAAAAAAAAGAATTCAGGGAGAGAAAGCATTTTCAATGAAGGAAACTCATCGTAGGAGTCCTCAATCGAGGACCTGCTAGGAAAATGACAAGGGTTTGGAGGGAAGGTGTTGTTGGTTGGATTATGTCTCCCCAAATTCATAAATTTAACATTCAGTATCTTGGAATGGGACCAGAGTTGAAGGTCCTTGCAAAGGTAATGGAGTTAAAATGAAGTTATTAGGATGGAGCCTTGTCCTTATAAGAAGGGAAACAAAGATGAAGGTGACCACCCAGAGCACATCCTTTCCTCCCAGCCCTTAGAAGAAATCATCACAGCTAACACCTGGGTTTCAGACTTGTGGACTCCAGAACTGTGTGATAATAAATTTCTGTTGCTCTAGCCACCTAGTTCATGGTACCTTGTAATTGCAACCCAGGCAAACTAATACAAAAGGTATCCCAGGGAAGAATTAAACACAAAGTTGGTCACAGAGGTAAGAAAGTGAAATTAGCCCAATTATCTTGGAACACAAAATATAAAAAGAATGGGGAAACAGGGCAAAAGAATTCCCATTACTATCCAGTGCAAAAATAAAATGAAAAGAAACAGTGATCAGAAAGATATTTTGAAAAAAATTGCTAACATAGGCCTAATTTTGTCATTTGCTATATACATCACACAATCCACTTATAGAACAAGTCTTCCAAATTTGACTCACACAATCAAAGAAAACACCTTTTCTAAATTACTCAGATTATAAGAGGGAAGAATTTAAAAGATGATGTTGTCCCACAATGCTTTTTTTGAGGATGGTAATAAAAGGTAATTTTGAAACAACAAAAACAATAATCAAAATTTTTTTCAAGACCTTTGTGTTAACTACAGAATCAATTTGACTTTGTTGATGAGATGAGGTTGAGAAATAAATGACTTACCTGTAAGAGTCTCTGTTACTGATGGTGTCATGACCTGAATCTTCTTGTTCATCTCCTGCTACATTAAAACAAACTCGTTTGCTATTTCTTTCTCCCCTCTCATTGTCGCTGTCTGTTGGTATTATGCACTCTGATGTCTTACGCTCCAATTTAGGAGAATATGTTATTGAAGACAGAAGGCTGCAATGTGATATTTAAAAAAACAAGTGCACATTGTCAAATTGGCTGTTACAGATAACTACCTTATTTGTTTAATATAATGGGCTTACAAAGATTTCTAAAAAGCTTCTGTTTTACATTAAATAAATATTCTCTTGTGTAAAAAAAACTTGTCATAGAAAGTTCACTTTTTTTTCTGCTCAGAATAAGTAATAGAAACAGTGCACAATTTAGCCAGAAATCAGTATTCAAATCTTGTTCTGTCACTCAGTAGCTTTGATATTAGAACAAAATTATGCCACCCATGACATTTATAAAATAGGGGCAATAAAAACAACTAGCCCACATAGCTGCAGTGGGAATGTAATGAGAGCAACATACTCCTGGTGTGTAACACTTGTCACCTGTCTCCTCTCACCATTACACCACTGTCACCACCATATGAAAACACTTGGTAAACTGTAAAGTGCTAACCAAATATTAAATGCAAACACTCAAAGTGTTTTACTACTGTCTCATTGACTCACCCTCAAATATGAAAATATCCAACTGCCCATTGACCCTTGCCTCCAGATTTTCTCTATTTGACAGAGTCCATTGTATTGTCATTCATTTCTTACTGCTCACACAAGAAGTCCTGGCTTTACTGTTTATAAGACTTTGAGCAGAGTCACATTCAACATGAGGACAATAGGAGACAGGGGCCACTCCAATCTCATTGGCAATCCGGCCGTAATGAAATGTCCCCAATCTGACTAATGAAGGGTTCTTCAATTTGGCTCATATCTTGACACTCATTTTCCAAAGCAATGTAAGGTTTGTTTTGCTATTTCAATTTATGAGAACAGCTTATACCTCTTCCACATACCCAATAACATCAAACCCAATGCTAGGCAGTAAGTAATTCCTTGTTAAGTAATTATCAATTAGTTAAAATTTTTGAAAAAAATTGCTAACATAGGCCTAATTTTGTCATTTGCTATATACATCACACAATCCACTTATAGAACAAGTCTTCCAATGTATTGGACAATGTATTGTTCTTGGTGCTGTTGAATACATCAGTTTATAAAACATACAAAAATCCCTACTTTCCTGGAGCATAAATTCAACTGGGAGGAGATAGATGGCAAGCAAGTAATCTTGCTACTCTTAGATTGTGACATATGTGAAGGAGAAAAATGAAAAGAAAGCCCAGAACTGGGGTTGTGGCTCAGTGGTAGAATGCTTGCCTAGCATGTGCAAGGCCCCTGGCATGGGGATTAAAAAAAAGCACAGTGCTGCAATTTTAAGCAGTATAGTCAGAGAAGGTCTCACTGTGAGGTGATATCTGAATAATGTTTTAGCATTTTATGGTATTTAGACAACAATGAAAATTGGAAAAGTTATATTATATTGGTCAAGAACCTGTGAACATCTTCAATAATTGAAAGCTATGAATTATTTTAGATGTAAGTTTTTATTTGGAAAGATATTTGTATGTATTATAAGACAGGCTATATATTTATTCACTCCTTCCACCCAAAAGATTAAAACATTAGGCTAACTCCGATTACCCAAGCTCTATACTGCACAGGCAGATGAACTCCGAATACCAAAGAGGAAAGATATGCAGGAGTTCTCATTTTCAGGAAGTCCTCTGTGCTTATGTCTATTTTAAGTTAAAAGTCATGGGGCTAAGCATACACAGTTTTCAAAGTTATAAGAACTGTATTCACATATTTCTTTTCATTTTAAACAGTCACAATCATGCTTGCACTAACAATGTGGGATCAAGTGCTTTGATTTGCAAATAAATGATAGCAAAACCTTGTTTTTACCATGTTCTTGCATAAAATTTCTAGACTCTGAAAACAAATAGGCACATAGTATTTTATATGTACATACAAAATATTTTCCTTTGCCTTTTACTCACACTCAATGTTCGTCTATCTACTAAAAGTCCATTAATTAAAATTCTGAGCAGCCTCCCGTCCAGATCAATCTACTCCTCGTGCCACTGCTTAGTATTTTTGTGCATCTACTTGTATGCTTTTAGATATCATCGTTATCATCACCCTCATCTCAGCTATCTGTTGAGCTCATATGCCAGTCACTATTCTAAGTACTTAATAGTTATTAATTCACTTACCCCTAAAACTATCTTAAAAAGTAAGTATCAAGGGAGTAAGGTAGAATGAAGAAAATTAGATGAGATAAACCAGTTGGGGTTATTATATGTACACACATGAAAATATCACAAGGAAATTTCCTGTGTGGCTAGCTACCTTTATTTCAAACAAACAGAAAGAACAGGAGGGCTGAACAGGTCCTGTGGAGAAGGGATAGTACCAGCAGGGAAAGGGTATAGGAGGGTGAATATGGTGCAAAAAATGTATACACATGTATGTAAATGCAAAGCTGATACCCACTGAAACTATTCCAGGAATTGGGGGAGAGGTGAGATAAAGGAGAGTGGTGGAGGGGGTGAATCCAAGTATGAGATATTTGATACACTGTAAGAACCTTTGTAAATGCCACAATGTACCCCACCCAGCACAACAATAAAGGGAAAAAAAGTTAAAAAAAGAAGATAGAGAGAGAAAAAAATGCCTTTCAATATATATGTGTGTGTGTGTATGTATATATACACATATCAGGTATCATTACATAAACAGACTTTGAAAACTAAGCATTACTTCCTTTCCCTGCATATACCTTACATACTGGAGGAAGCAGTTCTGGGCACACAACTGGGAAGTATTCCCCTTACCTTCTGAGGATGGGCGTGCCTGTGTGACTTGCTTTAGCAAGGTCACTTCTAGACAGGAGACTCTGCATCATTGTGCAGGCTGTCACATTCCCTTTTTCTGTCATGACATCAGAAATAATACAGCTAACGGGCCATATGCCTGCAACCTCTGAGGATAATGTAGCACAGAGACCCTGTGGCATGAAGAGTGAGCAAGAAAGAAACATTTGTTTTATGTCTGTGAGGCTTTTAGAGTTTTGTGAACAATGAAGGGGGAAACACAGGTGGTATGTAGAAACCAGGAACCTAGAAGAGACAAGACTGAGTAAGTGGAACAGAGAAGCACCTTCTTTAATTGCAAGACTAGGCAGAGCCTCACTTCAGATCTGCCATCTGCCTGACTCTTGGGTACCAGGAAGGTGGCCATGCAGATCTGGGAAACAGATCCCACCAGGCAGAGCAACCTCAGGTGGGACTGAGATTGTCATTTTCCAGGAACAGAAAGTGTCTAGTAAAGCTGATGCTCAGTGAGATGAATATGGAAAGGTGGACAGGGGGATACCATGGAGAAATTTGCAGGGCACAGTCAGCCCTCTGGATCTGTGGGTTTCACATCTACAGATTCACCCTAGCATGGATCAAAAATATTCATAAAAAATTCCAATTAGACTGTATACATATGACTTTTTCTTGTCATTATTCCCTAAACGATACAATATTAACAACTACTTACATAGAATACATATTTAAGTTATAAGCAAATACTACTCCATTTTATGTAAGAGACTTGAATATCCTGAGACTTTGGCATCTGCAGGGGTATTGAAATCAATCTCCGGTGAATTAATAGCAAAGGACAAGTGTAATTTAACTGCAATGTAATTCTGTTTAACGGTGTTAAGCAGGGGACCAACTCCACTTGCCCTGATAGATCCTCTGGCATGCATTGGGTGTAGAATGTATCAGAGAAAGGAACAGCTCAGCAACTCCTGTGGTGGCACTGATGAGGGAGGAAGGTGACTCAGTCCAAAGGGATAGATGATGACACAGTCTGAGGTAAGGGCTAACAGACAGAACCTGAGGAGCTCTTGGAGGTAGAGGGGAGGAAATAGAAGAACCAAAGATGATACCTGAGATCTGGCTTGATAAACCGAAGAGATGAGCACTGTACAGAGCAGGGGAAACCCCTAGTGGGGGAAGGGTTTCATAAGCTAGTTCACAGAGGGACTGTGATAATGAAATATGTAAATGCATGCAAGTGTATACCCCTTTCCGGCACAGAGCACCTATAATAGATACTGGCTTTCATATAGCTGCACCTGTACTTGTACATTTACCAGCAAAATGCTTGAGGAAACTTCAAAGGTAATTGGTACCACTAAACACCACCATTCCTACCCGTAACCCTCAGGTCATTAACTGTCTTGTAGGCGGTTTGCTCGTCACTCATTCCTGGGACATCCAATGCCTGCAAATGAAGCCTGCTCCCAAATTTCCTATCTTTAATACCCCCAATTCTCTCCAATTATTTCCTCACTGTAAGAATACACAAATCCTGTATTTTAAAATCTCATCAAGTTTTGGACTATTCATGAATTATTTTTCCCTTTACTTATTTTTAGTATCTAAGTATCATTACAGGAAAATAGCCCAGAGTGAAATAAAAATCATACAATCTTGGTTAAATCTATAACATAACCTTATTTCATGCTACTAGATAGTAAATTCCTCTCTGATTCCATCTTTGGATCTGAAGCTAAGGACGAGGATTTAGTGAAATGTCTATGTGTTAAGGAAATTTTATTTCTAGAAGTGTTTCTAGGTGACAGGATATCCAGACTTCATGATAAGCCAGGCTCAACACCAAGCCCTTGATAAGAACGAATAACTTCCCGAAAAGCTAGCAATGAGATCTTATGAACCAATTGCTTTTAAATCTTGGCAAAGCACCTGGGATCTGCTTCTTCACCCTGACCAAGAATAATTACATGGTGAGAAAAACTGTCTGGTAACCAGCCTTTTAAATAATTTGTTATGCTCAACTGCACTGCAGCATCTGTGAATGACAAGGGCAATGGGGAAGCTAGGCACTTAGACAACTGTACTGTTTCAAAGTGATTACACTGTAGATTGAGTTATGTAGAACATGTTTATATTTGGAATTAAATTATGTGCTATACACAGAGAAGGCCAAGTTTATTTCTCCAGCCATTTGCTTACTTCATGTCACTTTGCTAACAACATGCAGAACAGGTAAAGGCTTTTAGAATAACTGAATCATAATGAGAAATAATCAATCACCTTAAGTAGTTTCAGTGAATAGGTATTTACCTAAACCTACTTCTGCAACTAGTTCTTTAAATATAAATATCTTAAAGAAACTTCCTAGGCTCAAAGTTTTTCTTGAAATATCTATTTCCATTATTGGAACCTAAAAAAAAAAGGTCAACAAATTAACAAAGTTTGGATGAATGCCAGGCGGTGCTGCATGTTGATGCACAAGAGACTGAGTTTCTGACACAGTCTCAGTGAGCACATCAATAATCTTGCCATTGACAAAGGAAAAATGGGAATAATAACTCTTGGTCTAACTGGAAGTTGAGATTGGTCCAGATGTTCTCTTAAAATTCCTCTGAGAGCTGGGAATCTATGATTCAGTGTCCTACAATAAAGACTTTTCTTCTATACACTTCTTAAATTTCTCAAGGGGAACTAGTTTCTACAATGGAACATACCATAGAATAAAATCCCATTTATTAAGTAAAGCAAATATAATACCCTAAAGCATGAACTTACAAGGGCTGCAAAGCCATTTAAAAACATCATTGCTTAAAAATGTCTTCAGTTCTCTTAGCAACCTCAGACTGTTTAAGTCATCTGTAAATGGAGAAGTTGTAGTTTAATATATAAAATGTTATAAGTAAATCATTTAAATCTAGTTCATTAGACACAGGAAAACAGAATTCTAATTCTAAGTTACTCATAAGACTTCAGAAAAAGGATTAGCAGAGTGGCTCAAGTGGTAGAGTGCCTGCCTAGCAAGTATGAGGCTGTATGTTCAAGCCCCCAGTACCAAAAAAAAAAAAAAAAAAAAGCATAGTAAAAGAAATGTGAAGATGATTTAAAAATAAATATAAATATGTACCCGATACACATTGGTAAATTTTTGATTTTTGATCTCTACATATCAAAGATATATAAAATAAGACATTATGTCAATTGTGACCCCATTATCATAATCTCAAATTAAAATAAAAGCAAAGAATAAGTTCTGAATATTTTGCATCTAAACTGAGTTGCCCATGAAAGTATAGGAGGATAAATGTCTTAGATAAACAACACACATCTGCTAGCAATTTAAATAAATACTTTCATAAAGAGTTCAATGACGATAATATGACAGTGCTATAGGCTTTCAAGTATGACACTGTCAACTATGCTGACTGCCTTCTGTATTAATTTCTATAATTTTCACCCCAAATTTGAAATTTGTTGTTATTATGATTATTATTTTGCAATATGGGGGTTTGAACTCAGGGGCCTCAGGCTTACTCTGCAAGTGTGCTAGCATTTGAACCGTGCCCCAACCCTATTTCATTTTTAGATATTTTTTAGGTAGGATCTCTCATTTTTGCTTAGGGATGGCCTCAGACCATGATTCTCCTACCTCCTGGGTAGCTGGGATGACTGGCACAAGCCATCATACCTGGCCAAATATTATTATTATTATTGTTATTCATCAACTTCCAAAGATGAAAAACTGAAGCATCCGAAAAGCCATGATGTTTTGACTATACTGAGCCGCTTTGACTACTGTGAAACATAATCACACATCAGAATGTGACAAAGCACTCTATGGAGTTCGGGCAATTCTCCCAACATCAAATCCTTAAATAAGAATTAGTTGATCTGACTAGAAAACTAATCATTAACTCCCTCCATCTCCTCTTGGTTAAAACTTCCAAATTACTGGTTCTGCTATTGGCATCATTGCTTGGGAGGCCATCAATTCAATTAGAACAAAAAAGAAATATTGCTAGAGACACATACTTTTGCACTTGATCACTTAACATGCGTGTTAAGCATTTATTATATTCTGTATCTTTCATGAATAACTTCAGTAGCTACATATCAAATATTGTGCCCTGAGCTGCAAAAGATAATGAGGAACACTCCATGTGTAGTTAGCCTACTTTTAAATGTATTTTTCAATGCAGTTATTTTTCCACTGTGACTTAGTATTCTTCTATAAGATAAAATTTTATCTTTCTCAGTGGAGAGATCTCCCATGCTCATGGATTGGTAGTATCAACATAGTAAAAATGTCGATACTCCCCAAAGTAATCTACATGTTTAATGCAATTCCCATCAAAATTACAATGACATTCATTAAAGAGATTGAAAAATCTACCGTGAAATTTATATGGAAACACAAGAGGCCACGAATAGCCAAGGCAACACTCAGTCAAAAGAACAATGCAGGAGGTATCACGATACCCGACTTCAAACTATATTACAAAGCAATAACAATAAAAACAGAATGGTACTGGCACAAAAACAGACATGAAGACCAGTGGAACAGAATAGAGGATCCAGATATGAAGCCACACAACTATAACCAACTTGTCTTTGACAAAGGAGCTAAAAATATACGATGGAGAAATAGCAGCCTCTTCAACAAAAACTGCTGGGAAAACTGGTTAGCAGTCTGCAAAAAACTGAAACTAGATCCATGTATATCACCCTATACCAAGATTAACTCAAAATGGATCAAGGATCTTAATATCAGACCCCAAACTCTTAAGTTGATACAAGAAAGAGTAGGAAATACTCTGGAGTTAGTAGGTATAGGTAAGAACTTTCTCAATGAAACCCCAGCAGCACAGCAACTAAGAGACAGCATAGATAAATGGGACCTCATAAAACTAAAAAGCTTCTGTTCATCAAAAGAAATGGTCTCTAAACTGAAGAGAACACCCACAGAGTGGGAGAAAATATTTGCCAACTATACATCAGACAAAGGACTGATAACCAGAATATACAGGGAACTTAAAAAACTAAATTCTCCCAAAACTAATGAACCAATAAAGAAATGGGCAGTGAACTAAACAGAACTTTCTCAAAAGAAGAAATTCAAATGGCCAGAAAACACATGAAAAAATGCTCACCATCTCTAGCAATAAAGGAAATGCAAATTAAAACCACTAAGATTCCACCTCACCCCTGTTAGAATAGCCATCATCAGCAACACCACCAACAACAGGTGTTGGCGAGGATGCGGGGAAAAAGGAACCCTCTTACACTGTTGGTGGGAATGTAGACTAGTACAACCACTCTGGAAAAAAATTTGGAGGCTACTTAAAAAGCTAGACATCGATCTACCATTTGATCCAGCAATACCACTCTTGGGGATATACCCAAAAGACTGTGACACAGGTTACTCCAGAGGCACCTGCACACCCATGTTTATTGCGGCACTATTCACAATAGCCAAGTTATGGAAACAGCCAAGATGCCCCAGCACTGACGAATGGATTAAGAAAATGTGGTATCTATACACAATGGAATTTTATGCAGCCATGAAGAAGAACGAAATGTTATCATTCGCTGGTAAATGGATGGAATTGGAGAACATCATTCTGAGTGAGGTTAGCCTGGCTCAAAAGACCAAAAATCGTATGTTCTCCCTCATATGTGGACATTAGATCAAGGGCAAACACAACAAGGGGATTGGACTATGAGCACATGATAAAAGCGAGAGCACACAAGGGAGAGGTGAGGATAGGTAAGACACCTAAAAAACTAGCTAGCATTTGTTGCCCTTAATGCAGAGAAACTAAAGCAGATACCTTAAAGCAACTGAGGCCAATAGGAAAAGGGGAACAGGTACTAGAGAAAAGGTTAGATCAAAAAGAATTAACCTAGAAGTAACACCCACGCACAGGAAATCAATGTGAGTCAATGCCCTGTATAGCTATCCTTAACTCAACCAGCAAAAACCCTTGTTCCTTCCTATTATTGCTTATATTCTCTCTACAACAAAATTAGAAATAAGGGCAAAATAGTTTCTGCTGGGTATTGAGGTGGGGGGAGAGGGAGGGGGCGGAGTGGGTGGTAAGGGAAGGGGTGGGGGCAGGGGGGAGAAATGAACCAAGCCTTGTATGCACATATGAATAATAAAAGAAAAATGAAAAAAAATATACAAACTTAAAAAAAAAACATTAAAAAAAATTTTTTTTCTTTCTCTTCCCTGGTATTAAATGTTTACTTAAAATTACCAATCTATATAGTTTTCAATTTTTATAATTTTTATGGTGCTGGAGTGAAGATCTCTATGATCAGCACAAACTTTCTAAAACTAAAGGGAGAATGAATGGATTTGTCAAAAATCATTTCTTACAGCTATTTTATTGGGCAAGCTTCCAAGTATGATATAAAATACTTACTCATCTATTTGACAAACACATAACTCCACCTCTTTCAGTGCAGTCTGGAGTTTGCTCAGCAGTTTCTGATAGATATCTTGGGTCTCTAAATCTTCTTCCTTCAACAAATACCGGAGCCCATGGCCATCTCGCTGTCCCAGAGACAGACCAGAAGGAGCTGCCATGGTCGTGATTGTGTGCTGAATGTACACCATAGGACTCAGTTTCCCTGAGGAGTTAAAGTCATTCCATGGTAATATTTATTTTCTTTCACTTATAACTATCCAGCCTAATACATTTTAGAAGCCCAAAATTATACAAAATGAGATGTCATTCCAATGCTGGATTTAATTCAAGAATTGGAACTTGTAGGAAGTTACAATTAAAAGCTACAAATGGTTCAATCCTTTGTCCTACTGCCATGGTACAGATGGCCTTAAGCCTCCTTCTCCTGTACTTCTGGTATTTTTCTCAAAGCTGCAGGGCCATTTCAGATTAGTGGCTTTCACAGCATGATAAACCGCACCTATAGTACATATAAGAAAAGCAAGAGCAACTATCTTTCTTAAAAGGAAATAATGAAAATGCCTGATTCTCTTTTCATTTTATATACTTGTGTACAATTATCCAAGTGAATATAGTGAGGAATCCTTTCTTTATAGAAGTGTAGGATTCCTTTGAGATCAAGAATCTATCAAAATTTAAGATGCAGGCATAGCTACAATTGCCTAAGTTACTCTTTTTTTATTTGGTAAAATTTCAAGAGTTAACATACCTTGTTCAGACTTACTCTCCTTATCAGGAGAGTTATGTTTCCTACTATCCAGCTGAACACCAAATGCACTCCCCAGGGACGTTGATGTTTTAGGATAAGAAACTTCCATCACATTAACGTGGCAGTTGGTAGGGCAGAAATCACTGCTGTGCAGTGGAGAGATCTTGGCTTTGGCCTGTTTAAAGGTAGGCCAGGCCCTGTTCTTCAGCACACGAGAGAACTGCCAATCAAAGAAAAAACAGAAAATCAGTTGAATACACAGTAACACCTCAAACATTTCACTTGCATCACCCACACCAAAGCCAAAAGAAAATTAAATCATGTCAACTGGAACGAGTGAAATAAATTATAAGTTGTCAGAAACTGAATTGTTATTTTGAAACCCAAACATTCTTAATAAAGCAGAACATCATATTCAGCAAATATGTAGGGTTCCTTTGAATCTCTGATGACAAGTTAGGTGCTAAAAGAAATGAATCTCAGTGACCAACAAAACTTACCAGCACTCAATTCCACAGGCTCACAACAACTGAGAGTCTAATAGAGAAACTGCCCCCCCGCCCCGCCTCAGAGCATTAGGAGAGGATGTAGACCTTTAAAGCAAGGCAAGATAGCAAAGCAGGACAGCTATCAGGTCAAAGGTGAAAGAAAATGGGATTGTTTTAAATATTATCAGAAAGCCAATCAAAGGCCAGAGAACAAGGTGCGGTGGGGTTGATCCAGGATACCAAAACAACAATACTTCCCATGACCTCTGCTAATTACTGCTGCACTCTGGGGTCAGGATCAGCCCAAAAGCTGGATGGACTCTGCTTTATGTCATTGAGAATAATGATGTATGACTCCCAAGGTTGGCCACTCCACTGCTTCACACCTTGTGGTGGTTTTCCAATGAAATCCATTTACTCTTTCCATGGTCTATAAAGGTGCCCAAAAGTCTGATTCTCACAGCTCATTATCTATCTACAGCTGCCTTCTCTTGTTTCTTAGGGAATTCCTTCTGACTGCCATACAGTTCTACATATACTTTCTACTCACTCTAAGCCTTTGAAAAGCCTTTCAGGGTGTCTAGAATTCTCTTCTCCCTTCATTGTCAAACTTTTTTTCTATGTGTCTTCAGATTCTAGCAAATAATCAAGAGCCTTCCCAGAATCCTAGACTAGGTTCCATTTCCCTGGCTGCATACTAGGTTATGTAACACTGTAACCCTCTTTAAATTATAAGTAATTGCCTATCTCCATCTTCAGCTCATAGATGACAAACTCCATGATGGTAATAACTCCATTTACCTTGTATACCATAGTTAGAGGCCATCTGTGTGCTAGTTATGTCTATTGTAGTAAGTGGATAGTGGGTAAGTCAGTGTCTTTATCATTCTTAGTAAAATAAAGATTTGGATTAAATATTCTCTATATTCTCTTCTTGAAAACTATAACTATAACTATGATCCTATTTTCTTATTCTATTAGTAGAGTAATAATTTTGGCATTGAAAAGAAAAAAAACTAAGACTGCGAACTCATATATTCATAGATTAATGAGTTATTGAGGGAGTGGCTTTGTTATAAAAGCAAACTCTTTGACATACTTGCTGTCTCACCATGTGATACCCTTTACCATGTTATCACCCAGTAGGAAGATCAGCAAATACTCACCAGAGATGGCCACCTGATCTTAACTTTTTAACCTCTAGAGCTATGAGCTGGATAAACCTCAATACCAATATCATAAGAACTCAAAGACAGATATACTTAGGAAAGGAGAAAGCACCAGGAGCTCTCCTTAGTCACAGATACTAGAAATGAGCTGGATACATTTTGAAAATCAAAACCATGTCCCCAGCCAGAATGCTCTGGTATTTAATTGTAAGAACTTTCTACAACAAAATCCCAAAATGAGGAAGACACCGCTTTGTGTGTTGACTACAGTGCTGACTCTGTGCCACGCATTAGTAAATGGCAAAAGCAAACACCAACCTGTTTATCATTTAAGCATCACCAAATGAAACACTAAGCTCCCTAATTTGCTTTGGAGAAACTCCCAAGAAAAGGAGGAAAAAAGCATTTCTTCCCAAATAAGAATTTCAATTTTGCAACCAGGGCATGGGGAGAGGTGAATTGGAAGAGGCAGAGCTTTAGCGCTATTATGGAACAGTGTGGCACAAAATTATTATCATTTTACTCATTATCAAACATTTACAGTTGTCCCTCAGTATCTGCAAGGGACTGAACACCTCAGGGATAGCTAAAACCAAGGATGCTCAAGTCGCATAGAAAAATGCTGCAATATTTGCATATAACCTATGTAGTACTCCCTGATACTTCAACTCATCCTTAGATTGCTTAAAACACCTGATACAATATAAAGTATATATATGTATTTTCATTACACTAAATTGCTTTTCATTTGTATTATCATTTTTGTTGGTTTTTTTCCAAATGTTTTTGATCATTACTTGATTGAATCTGTGTGTGCAGAACCCATGGTTACAGAGATACAACTCTATAAAACGCGTGATCTCTGTATATCAAGCGTGTGGAAGAACATCAGTGAATGAAAGCTTCCTCACATGTTGGAGGTCACATTCTAATGAGGGAAGAAGTAAACAGTAAATACAAAAAACAGTAAATAAAAAAAAAATTATACAATTGTATAATGTGAGAAGATGGTGAATATAACTGAAACAAAATAGAGCTCCGTAAGATTGGGAGTTTCAGAGATGAAGTGAAAAAATGGATTGCTAGTTGTAACTGGAATGGTCAGAGACCTTCCCGAGAAGCTGACATTTAAGCAAATCTCAGGACAGCAGGGAATGGAGGGATCTGGGAAGAAACATCTGACAAAGGAAACAGCCATACAAAAGCCCCAAATCTAGTGTGTCCAAGCAACACCATTAAGACCAGTGTGGCCAGAGGACGGTGATGGAGAGGACAAAGGGAGTTAGGGTTAGAGAAGTACTGGTTGGAGGGAGGCACACATCCTGTAGGCCTTGGGAAGGTTGTGACTTTTACCAGAATTGAAATGCAGAGTCATTCAGAACAAAGTGGGTGAGCACAGGTGGGATAGAAGGAGCGCTTTCAGGAGATTGTGGCAGCAGTCCACCCTAGGCCATCAGTGGTAGAGGCAGAGAGCAAAGGCTGCACGTTCTGAAGATAAAGCCAAGAGAATGGTGTCATAGAAGGGGTGACAAGCATATTTTTTGGAAGGATGGGTGATAAGACAGGGACAGATAAAACAAGCTGCTGAGGGTTAGGACCAGGAGTTTATTTCAACATGTAAAGTTCAAAATATTCATTAATTTCAGATGGAGAAGTCATGTGGGCTGGAAGACTGAGATCACCAAGGGATGGAGAATGAAGAAAGAAAAGGAGAAGGCTGAGTCCTAACTCTGGAACTTTGCCAATGAAAAGGTCAGGAAGAAAAGGAGGAACCTGCATAGGAAACTGTGAAAATATCACAAACACAAAAGGACAAAGCCAGGCACATGTACTATCATGGAAAATTGCTAAAGAAAGCTTCAAGGTCAACTGCATCAGGTTCTGTTAAAGCAAGAAATAGAAGGAGGAGACTGAATGGGCTTTGATAAAGTACAGCCATTTCCATTTCCTGGTAAGGTTCAGAGCCCAACTGTGTGCTGAGAATGAAAGGTGAGTAAGTGAGACAGCAGGTACTGACAACAGGTCGAGCAAGAAACTCTTTCCAGGATGGAGATCAAAGAAATGGGACAGTAGATAGGAGTGTGATAGGCAAAGGAAGTATTTATTGTTAATATAGCTGATAATGGAGGTACATTTGTATATTAACAAGAATGAAAGATTCTGGGAATCTGAGTATGGTGACAAACACCTGAAACCCCAGCTCCTCTTGAGGTGGAGGCTGGAGGATAACATGTTCTAGGCTGTTCTGGCAAAGTTAGAGAGAGCCTATCTCAAAAACAAAATAAAAAATCAAAAGGGCTATAGTCGTAGCTCAAGAGATACAGCTGTTGCCTAGCACCACCAGGTCCTGGGTTTAATCCCCAGTTACATAAAGAAAAAAAAAATCTTAGAAATGGACTTAAAAGTTTTTAATGCACTGGAAGCTAATACATGAACTACTGACCTTGGCAACAGATTTAAATCCAACTGTAATTACTTGACTAAATAATACTAAATTATTTCTTGACAGAAATAATACACAGGTAAGCTATTATTGTACAGATAATTTCCCATTTCAATTAAGCATAATACTCTGGCATGAATTTATAAAGTTTTATGTTAGATTATCCTCTTGGAGAAAGGGGGCATTGGGAATAATTTTACACACATTTTTCATGAATCCATTTAAAGATTATATGGCATTAATAAATGAAGGCACTTGGAATATTCAAAGTAAGACTTCCAACCCCTCCACATAATATCTGTGCAAACAGGAGTTATACCTTGGGTGCTTATGTAGTATACCCAATACCCAAAAGAAGTCCATTTGTGAAATTGTTCTAAGGGAAAAGGATGATTCTAGAATTAAGAAGAGTTCCCAGGAAAATTAAAGGAGAGAATGTTACCCAAAACAGGGCATGATTTCACATCAAATTAACCACATATGTTGTTACACAGAGAATAAATGCCTACTTAAAGGCATCCAAGTCTTCAGTAAGATCCAACTTGTCTTCTACATGGACAGACACACATCTGTCGCCTGTGCAACTCAACCAGGAAATCTATTGTGATTACAGCAGCCTGGCTTTAGAAAGTGCAGAAATCAGCTGGTTCCTATTTTAGAAATCTCAAACTTTTAGAGTCAAAACAAAACAAAGCTAGCCTCTCTAAGATTTTAGTTTCTATGGATACATTTTATTTCACAAAAAGAAGAATGTTGACGTTTTCTTCTGGAAGAAAAAGGTTGCTAATAATAATTTAAAAATAAATATGTGGAAATTAGAAACCTATTCTCAGAAATGCTATCGTTTCTGTTGATATGCATTTGACAAATGGAGCTAACCTTACGTAACTTCTTAGGGTTATCATCTTAAGTACCTACATCTTATTAAAATTGAAAAGGTCCTTGAATATCTTCTTGCTAATCTTCCTTCTCTTTCTAGTGAGAAAGCCAATTATTTTAAGTATTTTTAATGGGTAAGCACAATGATAAAGGATGGCTTTTAAACCATGTAGGTTCTTGTTAACAAGATGTTTCTTTTTATTTCTAAATTAAAAATAAAAATAAGTGAGACAGCATTCCGTAGGACTAATACCTCATCTGCTACTTTTAGCTGTGTGACCTGAGGCACATTCTTATCTCCTGGAGGAACTTTCTATAATTTGTGACATTTTTACAACCTAAAATCACCATCCATCTCTACCTTAAAACCTTCCATGACGCCAGGTACGTAAGAGTAAATGGAATATACTTCCCACTCATCAGGACAATGTTTTTGAGAATCTCAACATTTGGAGGATACTCTGTAGTAAGTTTATACTTCTAATCCACTGAGTTTACTGCAAACCTTATTTTTGTTGGAAACCAAGAAATGATTTCTACATCCACCAAAACCAAGCTATATCACTTTATCCATTTTGCCTGTGGAGTCATCCTTTTCTCTCTGTTTCCAGTGCTTCTGCAGGAGTCCAAGTCACCATCAGCTTGCACCTCAATAGACAGCAACTTCTATTCACTAACCTCTGTACAAAGACCATCAGCACTTCATACTATGGCCTTAATACTACTCCAAATCATGAATGGAAAAACCTCATTTCATTGGTTTTCTTTTTTATTATGTCCAACTCAAATCTTCCTTTCTAATCCAGGAAAAAAGTCAATTCATCATCAATAAGATCAGTCTCATTTCTGCAGTGTTGCCTTCACTTAAAAAAGGCATCTCTCTTTACTTCAATGTCATCGCTACTCCCCTTCATTCTTACAAAATTTTCCCAATTTCCAGGAGCTACTATTTGGTGACTATTCAATTTACAGTGATGTTTCCTTTACTAAAATTATATTGCTTCTTTTGCAGTCAGAGCCATGGTTAGCACATAAGCTGTATAACACAATGTCATATGCAGGTGAATAATTAGTGTTAGAATAAGAGAAAGTAAGTTTAAAATTCCCTTGCTGTCACCAGCTTCATCCCACTGAAAAGTTCTCTGATCACTCTGAACTTCAGTCACCTTATCAATGAAATGGGCAATGTTTATCTCATAGCACTGTTTTGATAAAAGTATATGATATAGGCAAACCATAAACCATCCCATGCAATGCCTGATTTTCCCTGGCTGTAGACTGCCACAAAAGGTTGGTACATAACTCTAGGAAGCTCCATTCTAGAAACTAGTATGTGTGGTACCAGCATGCTCAACTATGCATGGTGACACTCCTAATAGGGTAAGTAGGTGTCATCTTACTTCATGTATTTTGCCTTTTCTTTTGAATTAGATTATAAGTATGAGAGGGCAACCCTCTTCAAGTAACTTACTAATACTATTAGTGCCTAAGTAAAAGGAACACATTAGTATTTCCATATTCTTCTTGCTGCACCCTACAACAAATTTGCTTTCATGAAACTGAGTCTATGATCTGTACACTGACTTTCATGAAAGAGAGCATTAAAAATATGTGTCATACAGAATAAATTCATTTTTGCTTTACCACTTCTTTTTCAGGGGTAATGTTTACCCATAACAGTTCTTGGAGTTGCTTCTATGAAACCTAGTGTGAGGGCTTTTACTTTTTTAGAACTCAACTTAAGAAAAGTTATTCTTTGCTCCAAAAAAATGTGTATTTCACAGGGATATTGATAAGTATGTATCCCTTTACGTTTTGGCTACAAGGAAGCTGAAGGTCAAGTATAGTGTTCAATTTTGGCAATGAAATAGAATCTTGGGACCAGCTTACATATGAACCCTTTTCCTTGGTGGTCTATACAATCTATTCTAGGATAGCTTTACCATCTAGTAGATGCTGACAATTTTCCTTCAATATCCCTTCTCCTCTTCTTCCTTTTAGTAATGAAACCCGCAAGTCTTAGTTGGGTACACATATGCCAATTTGAGATAACACTCCCCAGCCTGTCTTTCACTAAATAACTAATGGAGTGTCAACAGGAGTGATGTAATTATTTCTGGGTCATGCCCTCAAAGGAAACTCTTTATACTCTAAACTTCCTTTATTCCCATTCTAAGGGACTGTGACTTTGACCTTATAGACAAGGGCAATACCCTACCTATTAGAAAGAACAAAACTGTAAATGGTAGCCAATTCTTAAAAACTGTCATGGAAAGCATTAACCTATGTGACAATGGCAATGCACAATCAACTCAACAATCCAAAGGTTATAGGAAGTGCTTAAAGAAAAAAGCAAAGACTCCTATTCCCCTTGTCTTACTCTACCTGATGTAGTCAAGGTTGAGAGTCCCTTGGGTGTTCATTCCTTCAAATCCCTATTCATGTCTCTCTCTCTCTCTCTCTCTCTCTCTCTGTGTGTGTGTGTGTGTGTGTGTGTGTGTGTGTGTGTACACATATATGGGCTTATATCACTTACAATATCAAGAACCTAAAACACATCCAGCAAAATAACATTCTTATATAGAGACAAATAATACTTTCTAATGTGAATCTATCAAAATTTAAACAACCACCCTCATTTTGAAGGAAATAGTCTCCTATTGATATAAATAGAAAAACATTTGAAACTGTTTATAAGATATATTTTAGAGATCAGTTCCCAAAAGTTCTACCTTTCATACAAATCCCCACATTCAGCGTACCCTCTTTCTCCTCTACCTTCACTGTGGCCCAAGCTCATATCTCACAATTGGACTACTACAGTCACCTCCACCTGGTCTCAATTTCTTTACTGTTGCACCCTTGCAATCCATTCCTCAAAAGCAAGATCTCTCAAACCCTTAAATTAGATGAAGTCATTCTCCTACTTAAAACCTTCCGATTGGTTTTCACTGATACAAGATAAACCCCAATGTCCTTCCAAAGTTCCCAAACGTACAAAGCATCACAGCTCTTTGTGACTGGCCCCTGCCAAAGCCTCTGACCTACGACTGGCCGGCCACTCCCCTGGTTACTTGGTCCTCTTTTTGCTCTGGGGTCTCTGTACCAGCTGTTTCTTCTACCTAGATGCTTCCCTCTCCAATTCAAATGGAGAGCTCTACTTGTCACCAGGTACAAGCTTCCTAAATAGACCTTTTCTCACCACCTGAGGCCAGAAAACTACTTTTAATTCTTCATAACTCTTTTCAATGTTTGAGTTTCCTCCTTTCTAGAGGTTTATTTATTCTTTGCTGTCTTCCCCACTTGACTATTAATACCACGAAAGAAAAAGATCCTGTCTGTCTCATTCACTACTATATTCCTGATATACAGAAACAGTGCTTGGCTCATAGAAAGTTCCCAATAAATATATGGCAAGTAATTAAACCAACCAGTCAATTTAAAACAGTCCATGTTCCATGCACTTTGTGGTTGAGGCCATCTGTTCACTTTGTTGAGAGAAAAAGGAAAGAGCTACAAGGCAATCTAAAAATCTGACTTCAGAATTAGATGGCTTGCATTTAAAACCCAGCTCCATCTTTTGCTAGCAAATAATTGAATTTTTCAGGTCTCTGTTATTAGTTTTCAACATGTGGAATAATAGCATAGCTTATAGGCTTGCAAGGATTAAATGAGGTAATGAACATAAAGACATTTTTCAAAACTTTAAACTATTATTGCCGTGACTTGACTATGTCCCTCTAATTTTAAACAAAGGATATTAAGAAGGTGAATATGGTTGATGTACTTTCTATGCAAGAATGAATATATAACTTTTAAACCTGTTGAAACCACCATGAGAAGGGGACTATGGCAGAAAGGAGAAAAATAGAGGGGATGAACCAATTTTAGTTGTAATACATATATATATATATATATATATATATGGAAATATCACAATGAAATCCCCTGTACAGCTACCTTAAACAAACAAAAATGTCATTTCTTTCAAAAACAGAGAACAAGAGGTAAAAGGTCTTATCTGCCATCAGTGGGAGGGAGGGGCAAAGGAACTGTTCTAGGAGGTGGAACTATCACGTACTCGTGTACGAAAATGGAAAAATGAGAACTGTTGAAACTACTCCAGGAATGTGGGGACGGAGAATGATGGAGAGGATGAATTCAACTATGATATATTGTAAGCTCTTTGGTAAATGTCACAATGTACCCCCAGCACAACAATAATAAAAAAGAATTCCTGTGTTGGAAACTTAATCCCCAAACTCATATATGATTAATTTTTGGAGGTGGGGCTTTGGGTGGGGTAATGTCATGGGGTGATGTTCCCAGGATGGCATTGGTGGCTTTATATGTAGAGGAAGAGACCCAAGCTAGCAGTCTTGCTCTATGTCACCATGTGATGCCTTCTGCCATGTCGCAGTGCAGCAAGAAGAACCTTATCAGATTCCAGATACCAGCCTTTCCAGCCTACAGATAAATAAGCTCCTATTCTTTATGAACTAGCAGGTCTCAGGTATTTTGTTATAATAAGAAAAACAGGCTAGGACAGTTATATAAATGTTATCATTATTTCCAACTGGTTCATAACACATACGCAAAGAAAATGTCAACAACTGGATCAAATTTGGCACTTAAAATTTCAATAATAGTTATATGTAAAATTTATACAATCTTTACCTTTTTATAACTGGATATTCTCTGACATATGTGCTCGATTCTTTCACTGCACATAGCACTGAATTTACTCTGAAGATCAGTGGGAATCAGTTCATTTAGAGAAGTAAAGCTGGTACAGTTTTGTACAAAATGATCATCACTTTTAGCCAAGGCTTCAAGAATCTGTAGTAATAAATGCACAAATACATAAAAAGAACCAAGAAAAAAATAAGTTCAAAAGTAGCCACATAAAATTTCCATGGTCAACACTGCAGGATAACTCCCTGTGTGGCTCTTCTCTTAGTGGTGCCCAGGACTTCCAAGTTCAGTGAGGCACTGTCTTCTGTAAAGTGAGTGGGTTTGTCTGTTTGGAATCTCTCCTTTGCCTTCTGCTGTCTATAAAAGCCTGCTGAGGGAGGCAAGGGGACTTCAAAGACTCCCTTCTGGATAATTCAGCATATTCTGATGCGGGAACACATCTCCTATACTTCAGTTAGAGCCACTGAGAACATTTTTTTTTTCTCTTCAGTTGGGTGGTAGCTACAACTACAAAAAGACTACAGAAAAGCAATAGCACCCTTACTGTTACCAAAAGCCCAGCACAGGGAGTAGAGTTAACAAATGCTTACTGAAAGAATGTATAGATGAAAAAGTATTTGGGTGAAGTATAAATAAATGTTTATGCAGTCAGTACACAAGCTCTAGTTGATAAATGCATCATATAAAAGCGTCCATGTAGCTGGGCATGGTAATGCATGCCTGTAACGCTAGCACTCAGGAGGCTGAAGCACAAAGATCACAAGTTCAAGACCAGCAAATGCTAGGCTAGTCTGGACTACAGGGTAAGAACCTATTTCAAAAACATACATATGATGTTTTCAATGAGCAAATGTGTTGCATATTTAATCAACTGTAAGGCTGCGTATGTGTGTGTGTGAGTGTGTGTGTATGTGTGTGTGTATACACAACTTAGATAGCTAAGGATTTCCAATGAATTGTAAATTTACAGGTAGCATTTATGACTGATCAAAAATCACAGATCAATTATACCCTTAGCCAAATTTTTATAATATTCTATAAGCCATAAAATACATTAAAGTTACATTTATTTCAGCTTTCTTACTACCTCCACTCCCCTGTTACACTGAATACAGACTGAGGTTTTGTTTAGTCAGTAGTCTAGAGATTAGAGCTATCTTTATCATTAGCAGTATGCTTCTGGGTCTTTTTCTTAACTTTGACTTCCTTCATGTATAAAATGGAAATAATATTTGCTGTTCTGGTTTATACAGTTATCATACATAAAAAAATCTAACGTATCTTGCGAACTTGAAATAGCTGGAAATGATTTAAGATAATTATAATCATCTGGTCCCAAATTCTTACATGGATCCCATTAATCAGGCAACATAATTGAGAAGGGATTGTGTTTTGAAAATACATATTTATATCAACACATAGTGCTACAATACCATCAGAATGATGGGTTTTTAAGCGAGTTTCAAAATACAAAATAAAAAATTACTTTAAAAATAGCTCATTTGGATCTTTATTTTCTCCCACTGATATTAAAAGTACATATTATAAGTGGTAACATCTCAACTATATTTGAAACGAATTAAAATGAACAAATAAAAGCAAGGAGGCTGTATCTCATTTTTCCTACTTGTAGTACCTGAATTCCCACAAGATGATACAAAAGTAGAATGAAACACTAAAGCCCAGGCACGTGAAGGGCACAGCAGGAGTGTAATTGATTCATCTGTTAGGGGACATGAAAAGGAAGTACACTCATCCCCTTCAGACCACGTTTTTCCACAGGGCTATGAACTACCTGCCTCCTTCTCCATCTTGCTTTCACATAGGAACTGTATAATGACATCTTTACCAAACAAGAATTATGCAAATGCTTGTGGATCTATTCATAAACTGACCTGGTCTCTAAGCTTCTGGAAATATTTGGCACTTGTAAAATTTGAACTCTCTTATAATCTATTTCACAACTTCAAGTATTGATCAGAGGATAATGTACATTCAAAAAAAATACCACCTGTTGTGAAAACTCTCTGAAGTACATTTATTGATCCTGAATTAATAGACACCAAAAACATAATAGATGCAATGAGGTCTTTGTCACTTCAACTAACCTTTGCCTGGGCAAGAGCTGTTTCTAACTTAATACTGTTAAGTTAGAATCCTTTTGATTCCAAAAGGATCAGTAAGTGGAAGGTGGCACACAGAGAAAAGAAACAAAAGAAGCTGAACGAGCTGACAGCTGCAGCATGTACAGCCATTCCATTTTTTCAAGTTTTGGGATCATCTACTATATTTAGAAGAAAAAAGCTGTAGTCACAGGCTCACTCATACCTTGGCAGTTAAGCTGAAGAACCCTTTGGGCTCGATCATCTTCTCCAGCACATTGCACTTTATCCCAGCCGTGCTGTCATACTCATACACAACCCCATACTCCAGGTGCACATTATCCACTGTCAGACTCACGTGTTCCTTCTTCCCATCAATGATGGCCATGGTGTTGAACTTGTCAATTGCCTCTGGAGTACAGACAGTCTTAATTCAGCAAATTCATGAAGGGTTTCATCATTTCCTCAAATAATCTTGTGTCTGAATAATTTTTAAAGAGTTCTTTAAAGGTAGCTAAATCAGATGGACTAAATGAAGCAAGCATTTAGTTTTGAAAAATGGAAACTTTAAAAATATTTTAAAAAGCAAATGCTTTTTAACATGACTCATCATTTTAACATGACTAACCAATCTTTTCTATATCCACTTTAGTCTATGGGCCACATGTATGAACTTATTGATATCAACATAAATACCATAGATACGCATCTGTAGTTTTTATTAAAAGCTTAGATACTTAAAGCCAGCGTTTCTAAAACTACTTCAAGCATTGGATGAAAATGTTCTCAAAGCAGCAAAACTTATATAAAGAAGGTCATATTCGAAAGCAGAAAGGAGATGTAAGAACTGTTTTGTTTTGGTGGAAAGAATACCTAGTTTCCCAAACAGCATTTTGCAAAGAATACTTACTGAGAGAATTTGTCATTGTTCGCTATACTAAAATTTCCATATGGAAAGTTTGCCTGTAGCTGTTCAGCCTACAACCAGTCAGCTGAGAAATAAACACCTAAAATCTCACCTAACAAACTGTTCAAGACCTAACAGTAAATATTAAATAAGCAAAAACAGAGTATTCGTTTGCTTAAGACAGCAAAGACCCATAAGTATTAAGGGGGTTAGCATAGAATCGCAGTTTACTGCAAAGCAAGTAAGTCCCAGAAGAGCTAGAAAAATCATTTTCTCAGTACATCAACCCATCTGCCTTTTAATGTGGCACCAGTCCTGTTTTATTCCAAATGAGAAATAAAAGATTTATGATAAGGTCCTGAAGCTTGTCTTATTTTGAATAAATAGTATTATATCTTCTCATGCAATGTTCCTGTTTCAGTGAGGGTGAAGTATTTCTGATACTGTTACAGGTTAGATAGGTTTTAATGAAGCATTCTTCCAGGAGTGGAGGGAAAACAAGCTTTTTCTAAGTATACCTCATACTGCTGGTGCATACAGATGTTAATATGTCTGTATGATATATAAGAAGTACATATTTGGTCTTTGGGCCTTTGTTCCTGACAAGGAGTTTCTAAAATCCTTGTAACTTACTGTTGTCTTTTGATATTCATAACAAGCTTCTTTCAAACACACCAGACTTTGTGCTTATGAAGTGATTCTCAGTGAGCCTCCAATCAAGATGGAGCAGGATGGATGTCAGAGGAATCACCCATGTGATTAGAGATTAGAATTTCCACACACCCACAACTCTAAGCACAGGAGTGGGTGAGGATTACAGATTAAGTTCAATTACCAATAGCCAAACACTTAGTCATGTTACATAACATAACCTACATAAATGTCCCTAAACAACAGGGTTTGGAGAGCTTCCAAGGAGAAGGATGCAGCCTGACTTCATGAGGAAAGCACTCCTATGCCTGGCACTCTTCCAGATCTCATCCTGTGTACCACTTCATCTGGATGTTCATTTTGTATCAGTGATAGTCAGTAAAGTGTATTCAGTACTCAGTTCCATGGATCATTCTAGCATATTACTCGATATAAGAAAGGGATGTGGGAACCCCCTGAACTTAAAGCCAGTGGGGTCAGAAACAGACGAAAACATCGGATTTACACAGGCTTCTGAAGTGAGGTCAGTCTTATGGAACGGAGCCCTTAACTTGTGGGGTCTGCAACTCCCAACAGTCAGTGTTAGAACTGGACTGAAATGTAGGACATGAACTAGTATCTGGAGAGTAAAAGAACTGATTGGTGTCGGGGGGAAGTCCCACACATGTGGTGTCAGAAGTGTTATCTGAAAAATTTGTTTATAATAGGAAACTCTCCAGCTGTGTTGGTTTGGAAGAACTAAACAATATAATAAAAACGTCCAGATACACCCACTGATAATATGAATGGAAAGGCACCAGGAAAAGCTAAGAGAGGATTCAAGGAGGTCTGTGAAAAAGTTCTGAAACAATAATTCAAGATACTTGTCAAATGGAGACATAAATGTAATGGTCTCAGTTGCCCTTGGCAAAAACAACCACCAAACACAGCCATTTGCTGGATTAGTCCAATAAGAAAACAGAAATGATGAATCCTTCTCAAAAGATCTCTCTCTCCCTCTTTCTCCCTTTCTCTCCCTCTCTCTTCTACTCACACTCACATATTAGTTTGCCTCTTTCCTCACTGCCAATGTGCCAATACAGTAAAAATTACTTAAAGCAAGAAGGTATTTTTAAATATCTTCTTGAAGTTTTAATGAGCATATAAATACAAAGCTGATCTTGTCAAAATGGAGTGAGGTGGAGGTTCTGCATTTCTGTCTAGCTCCCAGTGATGCTGATTCAGCTGTTCTGTGAGCCACGTGGCAATAGCAAGGTCGAAAAAACATTCAACTCCAAATAAGAAAACACAACATAACCTGGGTTTGAATCCTCTAACACTTAACTAGCTTTGGCAAGGCCCTTAACCTATATAGGTTTCAATTTCTTCTGCCCCACCCCCAAGAGGATGGCTATGTTCTGTTTTGATGCTGAGTAAATTATGTAATCCATGTCAAACACTTAAAATTGCCTACTAACAGGATATAGCAACCACATGTTAACTACTATTACCACTTACAGGTTTGAAATGGATGGTGAAAGAGGAAAGGTTTGATAATTTCAGAAGAGTCTTCTGAACAATGGATTAAGCAAATGAGAAAAAGGAACCTACCTTCTACTTTACAGTCAAAAGCACTCCCTGCTTCATCTCCAGGGGGTTTGGAGACAGACTTTTGGAGGTCCTCTTGAGCGCTCTCAAGGCTATTATAAACCCATTGTATGGAATCTTGCTGGAAATGAGGGAGGAGAAAAACCTCAGACTTATTGCTGTTCCCTAGAATGCATATCCACTTCATAAACTTGCTTTGGAAGGAGAGTTGAGCACCTTATTTATTCCTCTAGTTTGTTTAAATAGAATTTTATAGAGCAAGAAAATCAACAGTGGAATGGAGAATCAATGACAATTCAACAAGATGACTTTTTTCAAGCTTAAATTATCTTCCAAAGATATATTCCAAAAATGCATGTTTATAAATAGGCTGTATTTATCAAATGTCTTACTTAAATGCATCAAATATATCTCAAAATGAGTTATAAATTACATCTTAAAATAAGCAAATGCTAATGGACAGTTTTTTGGTGAAGCAATTATCTATAATTGTATAAGCTATTTAAATGCTCTCCTAATAGTCACAAATATTTTAATACGTTTAATGGTGCTTTGAATCAAACCAATATAAAAAGTGGAAGAACATGTTCCACCATATTGAGTATCCAAGTCATGTAACTAGCTTTTAATCTTCCCATCATAAATCATCTCATATTTTAATTGAAATGATATTTCTGATCATATTTAGAGAAACAGGAGAGATGAAATGGCTACCAAATAATGGCTTCAAAGGTTGAATTACTTTAAGGTTTAGACTTTTTCTAGATAAGATGATAAATCAAATTAAACTATGTTACTGAAGTATAATACATAGTATCAATTTTTCTCTTGTATTAACTTCCCAATTGTGTATAATTATTACATTGCTATAAATCACTAAATGATGTTTAGGATCTGGGTTTGCAGTAAAGCCCCTGCTTAGAACGCACAAAGCTTTGGGTTTAATCCCTAGCACCACACACAGAAAAAGCTAGTTAACTTGGTCACCTATGATGGCTGCTAATGGACCCTAACCCCAGTATTCACAGTTTATGTAGGTCCTTCTCACACTGACCCTGGACTCAGACTTATGACTTGATTTGTCCAAAAGGATACTATCCAAGTAAAGGGTTTATCACTAGCAATAGTCCAATATGAAATTCAAACACCATGTAGAAAGGAAAATCCTGCTAAAGACTGAGAAGGGAAGCCATGGGAGCTCTGGAAGACAACCATACATGGAGTGGAAGGCCATGAGGCAGGGGACCCAGGTGCCCATGGGGTTCAGGCAGAATGCAGCCACAGCAGCAACCTCACAGAAACCACACGCAATTAAATGAAGAGAAAAATCAATCACTGTTGTCTTAAGCAACTAAGTTTTGGAGTGGGCTATTTTGTGGGAATGGATACCTGAGAGAGCATGTTACTTTTAGAATTTTTCTGTATATTTATTGCTTTTCTTAACATCTCACCAATCAGCACCTCTCCAAGAAGGCAGGCAGGGAAAGTGAAAAGGAATGAAACTCAAATCTGTTTGGATACTTATTAAAATTCTGATGTAAGAGTAAGGTTTGATAATTTCAGAAGAGTCTTTAGAAAAATGCATTCAATCATATAGTTCAATAAATGTTTATTGAGTTACTATCAAACAGGGTAGCCAATCAAAGTTTCAATCTGTTATGCTAGTTTTGACCTTATTAGTGAGCAAAATTGACCAGCTCTTTTCATGTAGGTTCATTCAGTGTTTTGCAGGACATTAGTCCTGGCCAGTGAGAAAATACCATTTACTTTCTTGGTTTGGACACACAGTCAAATCCTCAAGTTTGGAGAGAACTTCATAATGTTTAACAAGAAAAGTGCAAGACCCTTCCTTTAAAGTTCCTTTTGCATATAGTTGATTAAGTTGAGAGCATTTTCTCCTACAGACCAATATTCACTTTTTCTTCATGAGATGATAAACTTTGCTTATGAATTAGGATTCCAATTTTATCTTTCTGTGGCACTTATGGATCAAGGGATAGTAATTAAATACATTCTGATATTTTTCTTTTCAAAACTTAATGAAGTTACCTAAATACATGCAGCCAGAAATCAACCACAGGCTCTATAAAACCCATAAGTTTCACTGTTAGACTTCTAACCAATCATGTATTTACAATTCATATATATATATATATATATATATATATATATATAGTCACACAATGGTCACCATACATTCTAAAGCAATTTCAAGAAAGCAATTCAAAACTTTAGATTTCAATTTGATCAATTTATCAAAATGAAAAGGAGAGGCAGGGGATGTAGCTCTGAGGTATGGTTCTTGTCTAGCATACACAAGACTCTGAGTTCAATGTCCATAACCATGGAGAAAAGATAAAAGGAAAAGAAAATATCCTAGAGGATTTTATAAATGAGTAGTACTACTGTAATAATAAAATGCAATCATTTAAACAGTCAATTCTAATTAATTATACAGATGAAACAGTCATATGAGATTTACAATGCTGTGTTTAAATTCAAATAAAAACTGGAAACCACATCATCTCTGGCACTAGCCTGTGCTGTCCTAGGTCATCTATGCCCACTTTCAATGAGATCCAGATGAAGTAGGAGCAGTTTACCTTCATTGGCCGCCTGTATTTCCGGCAGGCTGTCACGTGTGCAATGACACTGGCGTGAGTCTCTTTGCTCACATTGATTCCGTTTACTTTGATAATGCATTGTCCAGGGTGAAGGCCAGCTGCTGCAGCCACAGTTCCTTTAAATGCAGGTGGGAAAATTGCCAAAAATAAATGTCAGGAATAAGATTGATCTTTATCACATATGTAAAAATGGAAGCAATTTTATAATATAATAAAGGTATAGGAGAATGTCTCTGACAAATGTGGTTCTGATAGTAATGATCTCTCAATATTTTTCTGTTCTTAATTTATCATTCAAACTGTGATTAACAGAATATTCCCCCACCTCCCTAAGAATTATTTTAAAGGAAGATTACAAAGTGACCTTATAAACAACAATTTTCCCTTTAAAATGTCTAGTCGAGGTAAATTTCTAAATAAACATATAGAGTGGGAAAACGTGACAGACGGAAACATCTGCTTGATTTATCTTTGTTTACAAAATCCCTAAATTTTCATGCCAACAATTTAATATTCATGTAAAAAAGAAACTGTTGGGGAAAAAATCAAATCAGTTAGCAGCTATAAGCAGACTAGATGTTCTAAGAAAAATGAGAGGTCCAGAGAATTTGTGCAGAATGGAGTTAAGCAGATTGTATCAACTGTCCAGTCACTTTGTTTGTGTACATATAGATTAAAGTGTAGAAGAGGTATCTCCTAACCAGTAATTTAAGATTCTTCTGAACTTTCCAGTCACTGATATTGGATAGTATGAGCAAATCCACATTAACATAGCATTATTAACAAATAATACATATATAATTCACACTAATGGTTAAAACATCATAAATGATTTGGAAGCAATTTATCCCACAAAAGAATTATTAAACACCGTTTAGAAAATTTATATTTAAGAATGTACCTTTTCTTTTCTTCTCAGTCCCCACTAAAGTTCACTCACAGAACATTAACTGAATTGAATCTTGGGTGAGAAAAGGAAATTCCTAGAAGAGAGAAGGGTCTGGAAAAAAGCATTGAGTCAAGAAATCACTGGCCTTCTGAGAGCATGCCAGCAGTTCTGTTGGTGTGAGTGTCATATTGGCAGGGGTGTGTGAAGAGACAGGACTGGAAAGCTGTACAGAACCCCACTGAAGAGCCCTGTGTGTCTGGTGTGAAATCCGTAAGAGTTTGAACCTTACCAGGCATGTAGAAGACTCTGAGGGCCTTATGTGTGAGAGAATGAGTTTATCTGTGAGGTAGGAAAAAAAGAAGTTTACCTTGGGAGACAAGAGGCAAGTTTGGAGAAGAAAGAGCTAGCTAATCAAAGATATAGAAAAAGATTGTTGCGCGATCGTAAGTGCTCAGTAAAAAATAAGACAGTGAATGAGGGGACATTCTTTCCATAACTGCTAGTGTGTTTGCGCTGTTTCCCAGCTTTTCAGGAGAAGGCACAAAGAAGGAAGGTAGGTTGACCTGATCCAAGGCTGAAATCCAGCAGCCAAGATGCGGCTGGGCGATGGGAACAAGAGGATCCTGAGGGCACTGCCAAGAGTGAGTGCAAGGATCCACAATGGGAATAAGGTTGGGAAGGCATTTCCTTTTCTTATGACATAATTTCAGTGTGAGAAGAAACCACAGAAAAACATTGTTCCATGCTTGTCTGAGAGAAAAAGCACATGAGCCTTTCTTTTACCCTTCAGAAGCAAAATGAACTAGCCTGAGACCAATCTTACCACTAAATTCCAAAGACAGAACCTTGCTCTTTACATATTATTCTAACAGCAAGAGAGGAACAACTCAGTTCATTCAGGTTTTCTGCTACTTTCTAGTATAAAAACATGAGTTCTTCCTTTTTCTGGCTTCGTGAAAAATAAAGAACATTTGATGCCTCAATACCCCAATTCTGTTTTATAATATTTAATGAGTTATTGAAAAGGCTTTAAATGTTTATCTATCTGTATATTTTTTAAATCTGAGGGTAAAGACAAGTTTTTGAAGACTCATTTTTATCATATACACATTTTTATCATATATCATATAATTAATTTATAATCTCATAAAGGTCCAGCTAGTATGTTCCTGATAAAATTTCAACTCCCTGTCTAGTGTTTGAGCGATTACATTAAGATACTTCATAGTTCCTAGTAATAAAAAGCATGTGCCCCTCTTATTAGATAAGCACATAGCTTCTTCAGCTTACAAAGAGCTTAGCTAGCTGCTTGCAGCTCTATTATTCCCTTCAATTATTACTAGTGTCAGCATGAAAAGAAAAATACACATCACAAGAGATGTCAGTAACTGATTTTCCATTCAAACAAACAGAATAAAATATGGACAGACTTTTAGTCACTAAAATTATTTAATTTAAAATGAATTTTATGGTGACATGAATCCATGGCTCCTGGGAGGACTTGAAGGACTTATATAGTAACAGGTTATAAAGCCTACAGATCAATCTGAAACCTGAAACTTCACATCCTTGAATTACTGCCAAAAAATACATTTATTTGCAGAAGGAAAAATACAAGTAGAATCTTAAAATTATTGTCTTTTGGCTAACTGAAGCATATAGAAAGTAAGAATGAGGTGTCATTCTTTTATCCAGTTTTTAATAATAATAATAAATATACCTTATAATTCTTAAGGCTTTTTTAAAGAAAATATTATCATCATTAGGTACTACTGCTGAGTTAACACAGTGGAAATGAGATTAAGGAGAAAATTCCTAACAACATGGTCATGCATATTTTAAACATATCCTCATTCCACAGGGAATCGCCAAAGCATCCTGGAAAGGTTGCTTACCCCAGAAGATCAATTTCTTACCTCTTCCCACCGCATGCACAACAGAAGGACCAAATCCTCTGATCTGGAATCCAAGACCGTCAGCTGAATCTGGGATTTTTACTGTCCTAAAATCGATCAGAAAATAAGGCAAAACAAATACAAAGTGCCACAATTGGTTAAAATGATAATCATCGACACTTTTGTTCATTCTTCCAATAAATACACATTGAGGGTCTACCATCTGAAGAATACCAGGTTAGAAGACCTTGGAGGAACATGGTATCCACCCTCACAAAGGCACATGGTAGGTTTGCAATGAAGAGTTTTAAAATTGAACATAGTTGTTACACAGCATATGCTGAAAAAGGACAGGCTCTGGGAGCATACAAACCTAGCTTTGAATCCTCATTCAGTCACTTCATAGTTATATAACTTGGATAAGCTCCTGTTCTCTGACATGGAAAGTTTCATAGAAAGATAATGCCATTAAAACATTTTGCAGGGTGCTGGTGAGGATTAAAGGAGATACTGCTGTGTGGTGCTATGAGCTAAGCAGGTAGTTAATAAAATAAAAAATTCTCTTATTAGCTTACTGTTATAAAAAAGACCTGGATACCTTGTGAAATTTCTTTACAAAGATTGATAAGAAAGAAACACAAAGTTAATACATTTTTACCTGTTGGGAACTTCATCAAAGAGCACCAATAAAGAACTAGTTCTGAATAATAAAGGTGTCAAACACTACATCAAAAGAATTTAAGAATATGATCAACGTTAGTGTTTATGCAGTGAAATTCTAAAATCATAACTCATCGAAAGTAAGCTTAAGTAAGAAAAATTATTTTCAATGAATCACACAGAAATGAATATGAAGGGATGGAGAACATGAGTCAGCTGTCATGACAAACCAGTGAAGGAGTTCAGTTGGTAATGGAGAAATAAAACATTCTACAGAAAGAAGTCAGGAATCAGATAGCAGCAATGAAAAGCAGAGGACGCTGGATAAGATGACCCACTGTAACATAAAAATGAGAATAAATTACAGTAGAGAACCCAAATGGATAAGTAAAATGCAATCCATTCTGATGGCTAGCTTGATGTCCTAGAAACAACAGTGTTTGCCAAAGATGAGTTAGTTATAAAACAAATGTCAGTAGCCCTTCAAGGGCACACCGGACAGTCCAAAGTTAGGTACAGCTGCTGGAGGTAGTTGCATTCAGAACAGGGCAGAGATTAGCACTGCAGCCTAAGCTATAACCTAGGCAGGCATTCAGTGATAAAAATGCAAATGGCTTGAATTAATGTATGTTTTGCCCTTAATTAAATACTTTCTGGTATACAGGGCCATATCTATTTCCTTTGAATAACAGAGTTTCAAGTGTCTGTCAAAGCTTCATAGTGAATTTGAATTTTTATTTCACTGAAAATGAAAAATAACTAAGAGGAAGAAGAGAATAAATACATAACCTGTGAGCATGAAACAAAAACAGGCATTTCGTGTGTCTTTATATAAGGAAAAGTTCACTTTTGCTAAACCAGCTTACAACTTTCAGGCATTATGAATTACTGTTGCTTTCAGAATACGTGCTACTCATAAGCGGCCTCTCAACCCTTCCCAAGCAGTCTTTCTACCATAATTTAACTATGTATGGTTGCCCCATTATAAACTTCAGGAAGATTATTATATTTTTCTTAACAAAAATTATATTAAAACATCATGAAGTCCATTTGGGGGAAAATGTTGGAACACCCCTAATAAAATGATTTTTGAAGAACATATTTCCCTGGTGGAAATCCTACACTGCCTATCAAAAGAAAGATTAAACTGATGCAAGAGGAATGTTCTATTTCCAGTATAAAATAAATATGCTAAATTATCAACTACAAAGTCTTTAGGAAAATTCCTTGATGTTATCAAGTATAATATACAACTAACATTAAAAAAAAATCTGTTGTATTTACTTCTCATATTTTTGCTTTTCCCCCCACATAGAATACTACTTAAATTACAAGACGCTATTTTAAGAAAATATAATAGTGTCTACACAAAAACTTCCATGCAACTCCTCCTGAGATCTCATGCCCCTTGACCTGAAGTACAGAAACACCAAGGTGGCCTCAGAAACTATAGGTAGGACAAGGTCACTGTAATATAAGAAAAAAGGAATTGACTGTAGAGAGCAGCAATCTTCTCACCTCTATCCTCAACCCTCCATGTTTATATGACCAGAGTAAGGAATAACTCTACTCTGTTGAGACAATTGCATGTGATCTGTCTGCATCACAGCACAAACAGCCCACTATAGCTAAGTTGCTCTATGAAAATTCACACAGGAGACCTGTGTTATTACCTTTTATTGTCAAGTCAGTTTATGGAAAAATCAAAGAAATCATAAGGAGAAACTGCAAGGCATTGAGCATGCTTTACTGAACGGGGACATGTCACTCAATGAACACCCATAACAAAGGAAATCTTTGTGTCAGAGCTTGCAACAAAACCTCCAACTTTTTACATATTGGAAATCTGTAAGAAGGGAAAACTATCAGCTTACATAATTTAGATATCATTTTTCAACTGCAAAATCTTAAACTTAATACTGAAAATACTTGCACAATAGTTGACTGCATGCTATTCAAATAAATATTAGAAATACTAGAAATATTGTGCTTCAAAATATTGTGCTACATACTTTTTTCCAATTTTACCTTGTGCAGTAAGTTTGTTGTTTGGGTTTTTTTGTTGTTGTTTTTGGTGGGACTGGGGTTTGAACTCAGGACTTCATATTTGCAAAGCAGGCATTCTACCACTTAAGCAATACCCTTATCACTACTGTCTCATAAATAAAGAAGATAATTTTAAATATATGTA